TTGGCTCCAGAGGGACCGTGGGCAGCGCTGGGTGCGCGGGGAAACGCGACAGAGCCATTGCCTTGAGCTCGGGGAACGAGCTCCTGTGCTCCTTACCGAATCTGTGCGTACGTTTGGCGTTTTGGTTCTTTGTTGTTTGCCTGGGAAGGGGGGGATTGTGTGGGGTTTTTTTTTTTGAGGGGGTGAATCGTAGAATAAGTAAGAAAGCTTCTTCGCTGCTTCTGCTTTTCCCCAACACAGAATTCAGCTCCAACCACTGCCGGCTCCAAATCCTGATACTACTTGCAGTACCTGAAATTACTGCTGATGTTATTGGAGCACATGCTTTTACTCTAAAAATGCCATTGTGCAACTAAGTTCTTTCAAAACACATGTTCTTCTTTTTGTCATGGAAACTCAAGTTCCTTCTGCTTTTTGGCTTTGTCGGCTAGGATGTGGTAAGCTGGGGAGCGAAGATGAAGGATGTGCTCCAGCCTCTGACACTTTGTCAATGCCTGGGCCTGTTCCCCGTGCAGGAGGAATTCCCAAACACATACAGAGCACCCAAAGGCACAGCAGCCACTGAAATCAACATTTAGCTTGTACAGTCTGAGGATTCTGTGTTTTAGGAAAAGGATTCTGTGTTTTAGATGTGCATCTCCTAAGCACCAGCCTGAGTTTGCAATAATAAGAACATGATTGAGAATTGCTGAGAGTCATGATTATTGCTTTGACCTGAAAGGCCTGCATGTCATGTTAAAGGTAATGCAGATATGCAATTAACATGGCTTAAAACTAGGTTTGAAATCCTGACTTTCTGTTCTGTAGCACGCTGCAGTGGTTTGGTAATCCAAAAACAAAACCCTGTTGGATTCAGAAGTGAACAGAACTAACCAAAAATCTGATGTTTTCATCTAAATCACCTAAATACTTTAAAATTTATCCAGCTTGTTTTGACTAACAGTTTAAATTACTTCCTTTAATGAAATACAGGTGGGAAAACCCAAACTTGAAACTTGCCCATGTACTCATATCCTCGTCTGGATGCTGCTGGAGAAAATACTAGTTTTGTTAGTAGCCTTCTCAAATAGCATTATTTGCTTAAAGTCAGGTCTTTTTGGAGATTTATTACAGCCTGCCAGTTTGCTTGCCATAAACATATTGTCTGTTCCTGCTTTTCCAGTTCTTGCCTTCATTTTACAGTTTCGTAAGAATCCTTGTGATGGCCGAATGCTGTTCAGTTTTGTGACCCACAGTGGATGTAGTGTCACACGGGGCAGGAAAGCTTCCTTTGGCAGTGTCTGGCTTGGTAATCCCATAGGAACAGCCTCCTCAAGGCAAGGATTTCCATCCAGGCCTGTTCAGCTTTGGCACCTCACTGGCAATGTGGCAGAGCTTACCCAGGGTCATTCTGAAATTCTGAACCATCTGCTTTTTAGTTAACTGCTCTGGCAGTGCAGGGCGAACAGGCCGTGCAGGGCAGTGGAGAGCCCTCAGAGCACGATCATTTCCAGCCCTGTGCCTGAATCATGGATTGTTTGGGTGGGAAGGGACTGCACCTCCTGCCTGAGCACAGGGTCAGCATCCTCAGGCTGCTCAGAGCTTTGTCCTGTCAGGTCTTGAAAACTTCCACGGATGGAAACTGCACAGCTTCTCTGGACACTCCTGCTGTACTGCAGGAAAAATGTTTCTCTTTATATCCAGTATGAGCCTCCAGTTTCAGTTTGTGACCATTGTGTCTCATTCTTCTGGCATCTGGAAAGTTTCATCCCTAGAAAGACCCTGGTACTGGAAAGTTTTCTTCAAAGCCCTCTGAGCTGAGCTGAGCAAGCTCATTTTCTTCCTCTCCTCACAGCACAAGTGCTCCAGCCATCCTGGTGTGCTCATGGAGTGCTCCTGGTGACCCTTCACTGGGCTCACTACAGTTTATTGGTGTCTGGCTTGTACTGGGGGCAGGATTCCACATTTCCTAACAAAGGCCGAGTAAAGGGCAATAATCACTCGCCTGTCTTCTGGCTAGGCTCCTGCTGATGCAGCCCAGGATGCCATTAACTTTGGTACCACCAGGACACAGTGCTGGCTCCTGTCCTCCAGGCTGGCTCCTGTCCTCCAGAACTCCCAAATCCAGACAGAGATCAAGAACCAGGTCTTTGGGAGAGTATTTCTGTCTGGGATCTCCCTCTCCACACTGACTCAGGATGCTGGTTTGTCACATGCTGTGATGACTCACTGCCACAAACGCCCTGACAAGCTTGCAGCTGCAGGACTCTGAGCTGTCTGCACCCAGGGCCCAGTGTTCAGCTCGCTGGTGGAAATACAAAATGTGCTGAGCTGGGGTGATTTACTGACCTCAGAAACCAAAGCTGCCCAGTGCCTAGGATTGCTAATGGAGTACAGGACAGGAAAGGGTCAGCAGGAGACTTATGTCTGCCCTGCTGCTTAAAATTTGTAAAAGTGTGGTGAAAACTGAAACCACTTGCTCCAGCCTCTGACTGAGGAGAAGGGGAGGAGGCAGGAGTGAATCGTGGTGCTTCTGGGGCTGTGCCCTTCAGTGCATCTTAGAATGCAGCTTGGATTTCCTTATGGCAAAAAACAAACAGGAGAGTGTCCAAACGTCATTATCTTGCTTGTGACATGCTGATCATAACCTGGAGAGAGTGCAGAGGTATGGCCTCTGAGAGAGAAGGTAAAAAGCATGGACACAGCTCACAGGGACAGGATGGTCACTGAAAAGGCACCAGAGTTCTGGGAGTTGGAGAGGTGTGAGAACACACCCTGTTGCAGGAATGGTTCTTCTGTTCCTGCTTCACCTACAGCAGCACCTGACCAGTGGCAAGTTGGCACCTGTTTTTCCTCAAGGAAGCCTGTGGGATTTAGGCAGGAGTGCAGATGTATCTATTTTCCTTGAATTTAGGGAGAAGGAGAGGTACACCATATAGCTGGAGAATCTACTCATTGCTGGTACTACTGCCTTGGGAGTGAAGGGAGGGCTTTGCAGTGATGCAGTGCAGGAGGTGCAGCCTGGAGCAGGCAAGGACTTTCAAGCAAGAACTTCAAGACTAACTCATCTTGCCCTGCAAAACAAAGGCTGAAATCTGCTTTCCTGACCAAGAATTTTCCATATAGCCACAATGTGCTACAGTGCTCAGTGCAGGAGAGAAGAGCTGCATCTCAGGAGTTCATGGCTCCCTCTTGGGTACTGGACAGGTTATTTTGACTTCTTGAGCACTGTTTTGCAGTTTGAAAACACAGATTCCAGCAGACATGCTGAAAGAACTGCCAAGTGTTTTCCAGACTTGGTGTCAGCCTGTAGTGATTGACTCCCACCTCCAACTCAGCTTTGCCACCTCCCTAGATTCCTGGTCCTGCTTTCACACAAAACTTAACATGATTCATTTTGATCTTTTAATGTCTTGGAAAAGCAGGGGAATTTCTGTGTTGGGGAATTCAGCAGAAGTGAACTGTAAGCCTGAAGTCCTAAATACTTGAATTTTGCATCATTCTTAAAGTACCTATTGTTTCCTTAAGGTAAAAGCTCAGCTAGAAGAAAAAGAAGGGAAAACCTTTGATGTCTTCACTGCAGTGGAGTTTAAAACTCAGCTGGTTGCTGGAACAAACTACTTCATCAAGGTAGAGGACACTGGGTTGTTTCTCTTATATTAATGTGTGTAATCTTTGGAATGGTGGGTTTTTTTCCTTTCTTAACTAGAGGAGAATGCTTACGATTTGACCTTAATAAGAAAAAAAAATTTGTGCATTAAAAAACCACAAATATCCACCTCCCAGCCCCTCTCCCTATCTGTTAAATACGAAGATCCTTTTTTCTCCATTTTCATGGGAAATTAGGTGGTATTTCTGCAAAGTCACGGCTCCTAGTCTGGTTTAAAACAAGCCAATGGTTTTTCTCACTGCCTGTCAGCTTCTCCATCCTCAAACCAGCCCAGCCTCTGCCACCCCTCCTGCTGCAGGCTCCCCCTGCAGGGATCTCACTGGATTTCGTGCTTTGCAGGTCCACGTTGGGAATGAGGAGTTCATGCACCTGCGGGTGTTCAAGAGCCTCCCCCACGAGAATGAGCAGCTGAGCCTCCACAGTTACCAGGGCAGCAAGACAAAGCACGATGAACTGGCTTATTTCTAGCAACCTTCTCTGCTGTGTTTCCCTGGTTGGTTCTTATGTGCATTTTCTACAGGCTGTAAAATGTTGATTCCTGCACCAACAAAGGCAGGAAAAAGTGTCTTTTTTTTAACATCATGGTGTAAAAAATCAATTTCTTTTATGCCATTCCCTTCCTGTGCAATCTCCAAACTGGAGAGTCACAGGGCCCTCCTATTACCTGTACTAATGTAAACCCTACTTTTATTGCAACTTAACTTAGGCTTTAGTGCAACTTAACAAGAATACTGTGGCTGAGTCCTGTTTGTGGACTTCCTTGGTCTGGAAATCGGAAGGGGAATGACACCAGCACTCATATATTTGCAGCAAGGAACAAGAGGAAAGCCTCGGTCTTTTCTGTGCTGTTTTGCAACTGTGAATATATGTGTAGATTTAAATTGTACTTTATATTTTATGGGCAAAGACCTGATCAGAGACTCGAGCTGAAGCAATTTTGCAAGGAAGAGAAAGAGGCTTACAGTAGTTTGAGACAAACATTCCCTTGGTAATCATGCTCATCCTCTTGCAGCAGTAGCATGTAATGTCCCATAGAGGGTGTGTGAGTTTAAAATACCAAACCAGCTTGCTAATGTTTTCGGTCCTATGGAAAAGTTCCTGGAAAGGAACTTAAGCTGGACAAGCATTTCTGCATTTATAACAATAAACATTTCTTTTGACTTGAGATGGCATCTTTGACTGGTGCTTTAGTGTTCTCTTCTCTCAGCTTTTTTTCCTTAACTGTTTTTTATATCCAGATAATCTTATGTTTATTCTATATCTTAATTAAGAATACTTTATTTTAGTCTTGTGACAGATATGAAAGATAACAAGAAAGACATATGCAGGCATATCAGCAGCAAAAGGAAAATATGGACAGTAGCTTTCCAAACTTATTTTATTTTACTGTCACAAGCAGAATCCCCATAGGATTTGCAGAGGTGAGGCACTGCAACACACTGTGTCTTAGAAATAGGTCAGAGGGTCATCTCTGGTTTTGCCAGTCTGAAAACTGACAAGGCTGGGACCTAGGTTCTCATGAGGAAGACTCTGGAACACCTTTAAGTGGACATATTCGGCATCTGAAACTTGGACCTAGAAACCAAAAGAGCGGGGAAGTGAGAATCAAGGGCCCAAAGCAGGTTCAAACAAAAGGCTTGAAAGAACATCTTGACTCAGGATCTTAATTGTAGATGTGCCTTCATTTTTACTTCAACAGCTCTTATCCAAGTCTGGGCAGTAACTGGTGGCAGAAACTGTCTACACCTGTAGAAAACTATTAAAAAGCCTCAGGTGAAGGGAAAATGAGCAGAACTGCTTGGGTGCAGAAGCAATAGGAGAAAGGTTTTGATGGTGTCCTATTTCAGTCACCAGGAAGCCAGCACATTTGCTCACAGCTTCCTGACACACTCGTAGGAGATGAGACAATGAGGAAACCTCCATGACTTGGGGGTGGGACACAGTGCAGACACCATGTCAGCTCCCAAGGGGTACAGAAAGATCTAATACAGAAAGACCAGCACATGGTCCTGAGAAGCAATGACAACCTGAAAGCCAGGATCCCTGGTCTGCAGATTTACTCCAAACACATCAGTGCCTGAACAGGGAACCTGATATATCCTGTGCTTTTGGGAGTGCCTGGAATAAATACTCTTCCAAAGAAATTCACCTTCCCCCCTAGAAAGTCCTCACATAAAGACTTGGTAGGAAGCTGTAAAATTTCATTCTTAAAGAGCCAAGCATAACAGTGCTAAACTCTCCCTTGGTGAGGGACATGGAAACTTTAATGCCTTAGGCTCCAAGAGGATTTTACATGCTTTCTGGTGGCTGCAGTGAGGCACTATGCTTGGTCTGGGTTGCATTTCAGCTGTAAGTCCGCTGGTAAAACATCACATCACATCAGTGAAGCGGAAGATTCAGTAATAGAAAAGAATGCATCTTGTGATGGAGTTTGTTCCAGTTAATGCTAAAATGAGGATGTATTCCATCAGTGATGTTTTCCATCACTGGTAAAATTGGGAAAGAAGAGACAAATCATCCATTTCCAGTGTTGCAAATGGATTTCTGCTAAGTTCAGTAATAGATCAACCTTTGTTTCTGAGTTAAGAGTTCTTTTAAGGAAGCACCTGGGAAAGAAGAAGGTTTGGCAGCATCTGTCCTTCCTGGATCAACTAAGTATGAGAAGTGTGGAGCTAATGCTCACAGTGTCTCTGCAGAATTACTCTCCCCCAAACATTACAGGGCAATTCCTCTAATAAAAGAATTATTCCAGTTCCCTTGGAATAAGACATACCCTGTCAGGCACATGCCCACACACACGTGGGGTTTCAGCAGTCACAGGCCATGCCTGCTCTGCTCCAAAAGTGCTTGCTGGCCTTCGTATGAATAACACACCCAGACATTTCTTCTGTGCTACTTCACAGAAAGCTGCTCACATCCATCGGTCAGGGTTTCCAGTAGAGGAGGAATGGTGCAATCAGAGGGCTCCAAATTAAGCATTACTCATTTTTCCTCTGGAGCAGAGAGGGGGTTTTGAAAATACAGAAGGAAGCAGCAGGCAGGCTGTGTACCTCTGCAGCACCTGACACAGAACCAAAACATCAACACACCTGCTTGCATGCAAAACTAGTCAGCAGACATGTGTGCACTGCATCACAAAATTGATTCTCTCTTTCCATCAGTTCCTCAAGCTGACTTCAGTTTCATCCCAACAAACACAACTGAAGGACTCAGACACTATTTTGCCATGAAAGGAAACAGGAGACCAGTTATGACTTGCTGAAATAATTTGAGTTGGGAAGGTAATCTCTAGTCCTTGAGGGGGATGATCCCAAGAAGCTTACCAGTCACATCTGAATAAGCATAGGGCATGTTTTATAATATTTATATTCCTGCTCACAGTAGTGCTAAACAGAGGAATTTTATAAGCATTTGGAGGTAGTCCCAACTTCTGTTACTCACATCAGACAGTTTTCTATGATGTTTGCTTCTCTTCCTAGCTGTAAGCCACTCTGCAAGTCACCTGTAACATTTAATTCCACAACACTCCCTCCTACAATATATACAAACCTTAATAAAGTACATTGTCCCAGCAACCACTTGAGTCTTATATGCTATGGCTGTAAAGACAGCACAGTTCACGTTTGCCTGGCTTTCAAACTGTGGCTTCACCTGTAAAAAGAAAGGGAAAAATGATTGGCAGGTTCATACTAAGGGATTTCTTTCATATATACCACTCCAATTTTCATCCTTCCACACATACTTCCTTAATGAAATGCCACAAAGTGACCGAGGGCACCCTCAAGCCCCTCGTCCAAATCATCAATAAAGATATTAAACAGGACTGGCCCCAACACTGAGCCCTGGGTGCACCACCTCTGACCAGCCAGATGTAACCACCTCTCCCTAGGCCCCGCCATCCAGCCAGTGTTTTCACCCAGTGAGCAGTGCACCTGTCCAGGCTTCTTCAGTAGAATGCTGCAGGAACTGGAGTCAGAGGCTTTGCTGAGGTCCAGGGAGACAACATCCACAGCCTTTCCCTCATCCACTAGGCAGGTCATGGAAAGAGATCAGGTTGGTCAAGCAGAACCTGCCTTGCATGAACCCATCCTGGCTGGGCTAGAATCCCTGGTTGTCCTGCACATGCTGTGTGATGGCACTCAGTATGAGCTGTTCCTTGACCTTCCCTGGCACTGAGGTCAGCCTGACAGGTCTGTAGTTCCCTGGATCCTCCTTCCTGCCATTCTTGTAGATGTTCTTTTAGAGGGGCATCAAATTAGCCAAACTCCCGTTGTGTGAGACCTCCCTGGTTCACCGGGACCACTGGTAAATCACGGACAGTGGCTTGGAGAGCTCTTCCACGAGCTCACTCAGTACCCTCAGGTGGATTCCATCCAGCCCCATAGATTTACACATGTTTAAGTGGAGAAACAGGTCACTGTTTCCTGCTGGATCGTGGGAGCTTCATTGTGTTCCTTGTCTCTGTCTTACAGCTCAGGGAGCTGGGAGGAAAACTGGTCTGACTATTAATGATTGAAATTAAAAAGGCTTTAAGTACCTCATCCTTTTTTGTATTTTTTTGCGGCAGTGATTTCCTCAACATCCAGCAAATGATGGAGATTCTCCTTAGCCCTCTTTTTATTACTTATGTATTCATAAGAACACTTTTTGTCATTGGTTTTGGCAGTGACCGGAGTTAAGTTCTAACAGGGCTTTTGCCTTTCTGACTTTCTGCATAACCTCACAACACTTTGTAATCCTCCTGAATTGCCTGCCCCATCTTCCAAAGCTTATAAACTCTGTTTTTTACCCTGGGTTCCAGCCAAAACCCTCTGTTCAGCCAGTCCAGTCTTCCTCCCCACCTGCTTGTCTTTTGGCACATGGGGACACCCTGCTCTTGCACCTTTAGGATTTCCTGCTTGAAGAATGCCCAGCCTTCCTGGATCTCTTTGTCCTTCAGGACTGCCTCCCAAGGGACTCTTTCAACCAGTCTGCCAAACAGGCCAAAGTCTTCCCTCCACAAGTCCAAGGCAGTGGTTTTGCTATTGCCCCTCCTTACTTCTCCAAGAAATAAAAGCTCTCCTATTTCATGATCACTGCACGAGCACCACACAGAAAGCAGACAATCTCTCCTAGGCTGGGTGACGCGGTGCCCCTCTGCACATGACACCCACGCTGATGACCAGACGCATTACTGAGTTTGGGCAGAGGAGCAGCGTCAGTGCCAGCCTGCTCAGGCTGCCCTGGGCCGGGCCAGCAGCACCTCAGCGCTTCTCACCACCCACCTGTTTCACAGGAACCCACTGAATTAATTAACTTTCCCAGTACAAGCATCTATAGCTGGCTGCCACTCCCATGACATTCCTTCCTAGCAGGAAGGCCACAGAAAAGCACCTAAGCAACATCCAGATCATTTCCTAAGAGCCAGACATTATCATCCTGTTCAGCTTCCTCATGATCTCTTACCCTGCTCTTCTGCTGAGTAGCTTCCACAGGGTTTCTGTCCCCAGGAACGAACAAGTACACTTTCAGCTGAGGAGCTGCTAACTCTGGCAAACCAGGGAAATTTTAATTCCCAACAACCTTCCAGCTGACCGGGGCAGGGGCCTCCTAGAACGCTCCTAAGTGGCAACTTTTGGTTCATGATATTCCTCTCTCAGAACAAAATAAAGCCACTTCTCTCCAGTTTTGCCCTCTCTCCTCTGGCCACTATTTCCCCCATTAGTTATTTACAGACTGAGCCTTCAGTAAAATCAAGAAGGCAAACAGCTCCTTAATCCTCAGGTGAAAAAATTAACATTCCTAAGTTCTTATCTAACAGCATCCTAAACCCAAAACATTCCTCAGTTTTGGGCAACAGCTGTGCAACAGGGAGACCAAATAAATAACATTCCTCAGCTCACTAATGATGACTAGAGACAAGGCACAGGTATAAGTAAATAATTATGTAATCCCATGAGCAGACAGACCTTGAGCATCCCAAATTCTGCAAACGCTCTTCACAGCTTCACTGAAATCATAGGAATTGCTTCTCTGCTCAGCATAAAAGCCCCCTAAAATTGTTTCATGAAAAGGTGACACATGCTGGAAGGACAGCAGATTTCCCCAGCATAAGGTTTCCATAAAAATATTTTCCTTAGAGAGCTATACCAAAGCCTCTGCAAAGGGCGAAAGGACCAGGAAGTGTTCTCTCTCCTGCTCTCAGCACAGGGCAGAAATTTCACCTTGCAGAAAATAAGAGCAATAAACAATCTGTTTTCATTTTCCTGAAGCTACTGAGAATAAAAGAACACTAAAATTAGGATCAGTCCTTTTCTGGAATCAAACAGAAACTTTGCACTATCCACATTTCAGATTCCATACGTGCCCTGTACTCTGGGAGCATTAGCACTGCCTGAAACCAGCATTCACATTTTCAAGTGCCTGTTTGCTCACAGACACCCAAGTGCTGTGGTTTCACCTCCAATACACACTGTAAGACTTCTGATGACCCATAAATAACACAGCCCAGCACTGAAAACGAAGCTCAGTATCTGGTATGGTGCTCCAGGCATTTCACAGACTCGTTAATTAAATTTCACAGCCCTCACCTGGCCCCATCTTAAACATGAGGAAACAAGAATGGCAAATACACAAAGGTGCTGCAAGTCCCTTGCGAGGGTCACCCCTCCATAGGTAGAAGCGAATTTCTGATCTCTGCAAGTGCTGCTCCTTCAAACATTCCTGCCAGCATAGAAGGAACAGTGGTACTGCTCCCAAGTAATTCAGTCAGTGCCCCCCAAACAATTGCAGATCATCCACTTCTCTTTCTGCTCTGCAGTAAATCATCTCTGACTAACCCGTCACCCCAAACTCCAGCCCTTCCTCATGTACATGTCCCCAACTCTGGTGACCCCAGCTGTGACTGACCAATAAAGCCCTATAATGGAAGAAGGCTCAGAGGAGCTGGGGAGGGTGATGTTCCACCCATGAAACTCAGGGAATAATGCAGGGTGTGACTGACCACAGCTTTTGCAAATAAGATGACTATCTCAACACAAAGGTTGATCACAGGGTGTTTTTTGATAAATAGCTCTGTCAGTAGAGGGGATCATGTGGTGATGTAACTCCCCGAGTTCATTAAGATAAAGCAAACACACCCCTGAGTTGGCCAGACCAGCACGGGGGAAGTGAACACATGGCTCTGCCCAATCCTGAGTATAAAAACTAAATGGCTGGACGAAAGAATTTTGAAGAAAACTGCTGGCTAGAGCTGACTTCAACCCACACCCCCCTTCCCAGTCACTGAGGATTCCCAGTGTGGTGACACAGAGGGTGCTGTACACCAGGAGTGCAGAACATCCTGGTGTCCTCAGAGAAGTGGGATTGCAGTCGCTACATTTTGCTAAGAGTAACTTAGACCTGTATCAAGTTACCAGCATATTTGTATCGCTCTGGTAAATCGGACACCTCGTGTAACATGGAGTGTCTTCCAATCAGTAAACTGAATGTTAAAGTTATTCCCTCCACCTGTGGACTACAGAAAAGAGCCCTGTCAGAGTACTGGGCTGCCAGGTCTCAATTGCAAGATCACAGAAGATGTGGAAGGATGCTGCTGCAAACTCTCCTCGGTGGCACGGCAAAGGAGAGAGCTGGGAGCCCTGCATATCAGGTATAGTGAGTGTGCTGCAGTATTGGCCAATGCATTCAGCCCTGCTACTTCCAATTTTTGTTTCCTCAAAGAGTGCCTGAGTGCAATTGCCAGAGGGACAAGAGCTCATCTTTCAGAGGCAGAAGGGTGAAGACAATTGGGTGGGTAGGAACCCCTTTTATTCCTCAGGATGCATTTTATACTTTCTTTAAGAGGAGCTGCTGCACTGCAGGGCATTAGGGGATCTGCAGAGGTACTGCTCACAGAGCTGCTCCAGTTCAGGACCACTGCCTGTAACCAACCACCTGGCAACTGGGCTCACTTAGTGGCCTGCCTTGTGCCAAGCTCATCTTGACCCACCAGCAGCCCCTGTATCACAGCTGTGACTCCAGAAAACACATAATGCCAGCAGGGAACACAATTTAAAAGCTTTGTCCTGCATATATAATTCTTTACTGCATACCAGAATGCGGTTTGTCCTGTGCAGTCCTTCACTGAGGAATGAACTCCACCAGGTACAACCTCTTCCCTTCCAATATGCCACCTCTCATTTCAAACAAGTGACCTCACTGCTGGCATAGCAGAGCTGGGCTTGGAACTCCACACAGACATTAACTGAAGGTAGCCAGTACCATGCCTAGCCATGGACAAAGAGCAGACAGAGAAGTGGCTTGTCTCAGTCTTACCAAGGCACTTCCTACATAGAATGCGGAGAAAACACTGCCAGTCAAGGGGATTCCCACTTTCAGCATGAGCCTCTTCAGTTTAAAACCTGGCTCAGTCTCACTGGCTTTACACAAGCTTCAGGAATGGCCTCTTTGCACACAACTTAATCTAGAGAGAGGGTGCAACTCACCTGGTTAACAAGCTGCTGAACTTCTGGAGTGGCTGGCTTGGTGTCAGATAAGCCCCCAGGCATCATGGTGGCAGGTGACTTCTCTGAAATGATGAGTGGCTCTGAAGAGGGAAGTTCAGTGCAGTCTGAGCAGAGTCCCCGGGCATCTCACATATATACACACACACATGTGTCATGGAACCATGTGACCTGCAACACACGGAGCCTACCATTACTGAACTGGAGGAGACAAGCGGGGAAAAGAGGGGGAAAAGCAATGTAAAGCACTGGCAATATTATTAATAAATGTAAAAAGCACTTAAAGTAGTGTTTATGGTCTTCACATCCAAAAGAAAAGCAAAGCCTCCAGTCACCCACATCTTAAAGAGAGTTGGTTTGGGCTGCAGCTGGAACCTCTTGCCTCCCCACCCATGTGCAGATGACTAGGCTGAGCTCTTGGGAAACTGATCAAAGACACACCCAGTATTTCCCAACACCTTTACTGATCAGAGAAAAGGATGCAGCACTTTCCTTAGTGTAGGTCCCGTTTAACTTGAAATTTTATTTTCTCAATATCCTTCTAAGTGGGGAAATGGGAGCAGATGGCATCTTACATTCAGTGACGTGACTTTCCTCTGCCTGACCAAAAAGGTGCCAAGGTAAACACCAGCAACAGAAGTAGAAAATAATTCAATCCCAGATTCAGGTAAGTACTGCAAATAAGGCATTTCTGCTTCTTTCCCATCAAAGCAAAAGCTGCATTCAGGAAATCATAATAGCAACTGAATGTGCAATAAAATCTACTTTTTAACTCCAGTGCCAATTTCCTGGAAGACAAAGTACAATCAAAAAACACAAAAGCTATCCCATTTTCAATGTACGCTGTTGAACCAGATCACATGAGAATGTATAATCAGAAGTATTCATTCTGCAGTTACAGTCACAGGGCACAGTCACATTCATGAATGTACAAAGCTCAAATCCTACTGGGGGAAGGCTAATAACTGCTAGCAGCCCTCCCTGGTAAGGGACAACTAACACTTCAAGACCACAGAAAAAAATTAGTCCCTGTCAATATTTCTGCCATCTCCCTCTCCAGCAAATATGAGGAATTTTGTTCCACAGCAAGGACCAGAGAAGCAGAAACAGACCAGAGACTTTTTGGTCTATAGGGGCAGGTACATGGGAGCAGGTGAAATGAGAATATATACTGCACACAGGCAATGGGCATTTCTGCTGGGATCAGCATTAGGGAATTTGCTGGGAAGAGGTGGGATTATGGCCATAGCAACAAACTTATCTGTGTCCTACCCATACTACTGAACCTCCTCCTCACAGATAACAAATGATGCAAGACACTGTAAAAAGTGCTTCAGATCTGACTTCAAGGCCTGGTTTTGGTACAAAGCCCCTGAGATTGAGAAACTGGGGCTGTAGGGACCCTACACTCAACAGTACTGATGAGTATTACAGCATGCTACTGAAAAAGATACTGCAGAATTTTCCAGACTTCAGCAGCAGTGTTATGGAAGTGGACAAAAAGCATTTGAGGAAAAATCAATTGTCCTGAGACAATATTTTTGTGAACAGAGAGAAAAATCCTTCCAGTTCTCAGGAATAAAGGGAGTGACAGCTCTTAAAACTGTAATTCTGCCACTTTCACCAGCTTCTCTCCAGATGAGGAGTTCCTCAGAGTCCTCATTCATGGAACTGATGACAACTCAAACCTTCTTTTGCATAAGACCCTGCTGATTCACTCAAATGCTGATCATGTTCCACCACCTGTTCCACCACAGCAGGACAGATAAGTTAAGGAACTCGAAGAGCCAGTTCACCTTACTGAGGCCAGAAATCAAAGAATGTGTCCAACAACTGCACGGCACCAGTGCTAAAACAGGGCATTTTATAAACCTCTCCACTCACCAGGATACAGATCCTGCTAATTTCCTTGGGAAGGCATGTTAAGATTCCCCAGGGCAGCAGTACATTCCTGGAGAACTCCTGATTCTGTCTAGCAACAAATACACCGAACACAAAGTCTAGGAGGGTTCATTTATAATCTTGGAAAGACTCTAGGTGTGAAATTAAAGATATTAATGTTGCGCGGAAGCCATCCACTGGACTCCACATTTCTGGGTTTGCTGGCTTTTTACTTTAAAGCATAACAACTTTTTTTTTCCCCCAGAATGCACAGTTGTGCAGAAGGGAAAAAAAAAATCAAGTCTAATAGTCAGCAAGTTGATGCGGAAGTTTCCTTTCCACGGCAGTGCTAATGGCTGTCCCAAAATCCAGTGATATTTCTAAGACTGGGATGCAGTACTCATCCTGCACAAGTATTCAATGAAACCACTTTTAAGTGCTGACATTTCACAGACCTGCGATCAAAGATGACCAGAGGCAACTGATCAACCTTATCTGGGGCAACTCCCACCTCCACCCACCCCTCTCTACACTAAGTTTTGGATGTAATGAACCAGGATTTGGAACACTGCCTTGAAAAGAACAGCCACCCCCACACCACCTCTTGCACAACAAGCTGAGTGTGCCCCCTGCAGTGTTTGAGACGTGGCTGGTATCACGTACCAGGCCAGTGTACACTCTCCATCAGCACAACTGGAAGCTTCCCCTCACATCACTGTGCTGCTGTTATCTTGGAGACTCTCTGCTGGGACATCACCACTGGCATTCTGTACAGCTTTGAAGCTGAGTAACATCTTGCACCAGGTACTATTCCAACACAGAAGAAACAGATCTTTAGCACTTGCAGGCCACTACTCCCTGGTTCTGTTTAAGCAATTTTAAGAGTGCCAAGCTAGTGTTGATAAAAACACCAGTACAAAACAAAGCAAACAGAATAACCTCCACCAAAATCCAAACCCCAGGGTTATATATTTACAAGTAATTTTTAAACCATGAATGAAGTCAGCTCTGTAGAAATGATTGTGAAAGCCAAGCCAGTAAGGTCAGTCTTCTGGTTTCCCAGTGGCATGTAATTGTGGCTGGACATGACACATGGGCTGAATGTCTTTAAGAGCTCCTAGAGGAAAGCAGCCCTCCATGTACCAGCTGAAGATCTGTTCTCATCGTCACAGGAACAGCCACCTTGATTTTCAACATGCTGGTCTGCAAAAAAGGTTTCCCCTCCTGCTACCCATCCTGATTTTTCAAGATTTCTGACATCGTACATGAACAAGGATCAACAAAAACCTGACCTTCAGCAGCACAAAGTTATCATAACCCAGCCTATCCTGAGCCTCTTCCTCTCAGTCTGCCTCAAGACAACTGAAATCTACTGTTAAAAATATTCTATAAAGAAATTACCTGTTTCATCAGTCTTTCATGCCTACAGGCTGCAGAAGACAACAGCACTGAATGCTAGAAAAAGAACAACACCTCTTTCTATTTCACAGAAGGAAAGATGCTCAAGCTTGAGAAGACTTTCCAAGCATGTGGGATCTGCCCACCTCTATTCACCACTTGCAAGCAAAGGGAAAGCCCCAGTGGAGGAGGTAAGGCATGCACAGGACTCTGGACATGGCCATCAACTGTGCTCATGCAGCAGAAGAAGAAGAAACAGAAGTTAAAACCAGGGAAAGGATGGAATTCTGCTCTTTGTAGGGTCCACTGTTTGACCTCCATATGACAGCAAACAGCCCAGTAATTTTGTAACTACCTCAACAGTAACGTTGAAGCAAGGTTCAATCCCTGACTAAACACCATCCTGGAATCCTCAGGGGCCCCTAGACACAGAATTTACCTGCCTGTGTCCAGCGTGGCACACAGCTCACACCAATGCCATTTGCACACTTGCCAAACCCTCCCCCTCCACGTTCAGCTCCGAGGTTCTCAGGAACCAGCAGAGCCGCGTCCTCCTGCCCCGCGCCCAAAGTGTGGCATGCAATTCCATTTACTCACCGTGTGTTCCATCGAGTTCAACAGCAACTGAGCCACCTGACTGGCCGTGGACTACTGTAAGAGACACCCTCTGTGCTCAGAGCAAACTAAATAAAGCAATTCAATGTCTTACTGCAACCCTCTGTATGCAAGCACCCCAAGAAGGGATGCTGGGGATTTAGGAGTCTTCTCATGATATCAGTTTTTCATACTTGGGTTTGTAAAGGACTATTTGCTTGGCCTTATATCCAAACTGAAAATAATTCTATGTTGGGCTGATTTTTTGGAGTTGTGGGTTTTGGGGTTTTTTAGCATAGTTTCCTCATAACTAATTTTTAAAAAAAATCTGTGTATCACATCCATTTCACAGGTCATTTATCACAGCATCTGCTTAAGTGAAGAAGCTTTCCACAACAGCTGAGCAAACATCTGGGTAGATAAAGGAAGACAATTATTAATTCTCATTACATTCCAGTTTATGCAGAAATAAAAAATTAAATTTCAAGACTATTGATCCAAGTCTACACACACTTATAGAAGTTTCTTTGTACAACTGACTTAAAAGGAGAATTTGTCCTTGCAGTTGATCCAAGCCCAGGAGAGAACAAATATTTTAGTCACCTATACTAGAGGTCAATAATAAAGTACCAACTTTGAAATCAAAACTTACTGTTCTCAACATCTCATTAATTGACCATCATCTCCTGTTGAAATTTCATCAGTGCCAATTCAGCCCAGAGTGATGAGCAGTATTTGATTTACACTTTGATGATAAACAATTATAAGAATTTAACAAGTGAAGAACAAACACATTTTCTGCTTTCAGAGTTGCAGAAAAAGAATGAGAAATCTTCAAGAATGAGTGCTCCAACTCAAAGTTCTGCATAAAGCAGTTGCAGTACCTTGAGGAAAAAAAGAGGGGGAAAAATGAAGTTTGAACATTAGGATTTACATCCTCAAAGACTTAAAATATATTTCTACCTCATTCTCAAAAAAAGGTGAGATGAAATGACCATGGTGCCTAAAAAGAAAAGGCCTCCAAGCAGTTTGAGTCTTTACTGCCCGAACAACTATAAAACAGATGCTGCTGCACAGATCTTTGCCAGCTTGCAGTAACACAGGTACATTCCTTCATTTATTTCCCTCTTCCTATATATTCAAAGTTTTAGGGATGTGAAAGTATATCCAGTAATTTCATTGCTGTTGCTGAATTCCAAAATGTTTGCAAGACAGAGCCTGTATTTTTAGGGCTCTGTTTAAGTTCAGTAGTTCTTAAGATCATATCAGCTGGCAACCACACAGACCCTGTCACTTGACTGTCAGCCTGAGATAAATACAAAATAAAAAGTAAAAAGTAAAATATACAGGTGTAGTTGCAGCAATTCAGCTTTCCTCCTACTCATCTGCCTTTAAATGCTGTGTTACTGCAGCAGTGCTGCATTCAAGCTTTGTAAACACAACACCATGGCCAGGATCAGCAAGACCAGGTATGCACACCTGTTTCCTCAGCTCAAACACAATTCACCTTTAGAACTACTCTTAAATATTCAGAGGGAGGGACAAAAAAGAGACCCTGGACAGTCTCATTCCCAAATGAGACATATCTTCAGCTCCAACCCAAAGTGGTTTTAATCGAGACCACACCCCCTATATAAAGGAAAACTCCAGAACATGGAAATGCACACCAAAGGGCAGTAAGCAACAGATGCTGCCTCTCAGCATTGCAGCACCAATGGCAAACCTGTACCCATACACAGCTCTGAGCTGCTCGTGTTGAGAAGTTCAGAACAAGGCTGGTAACTTCTTACTTTCAGAGATGCTGAACCTACTACACTGGCTGATCAGTCTGCAATTTTTATTTCTTTTCAGACTTCAGCAGATTATTTCCACAAAAAGACCATGTTCACTGATATTTTAGCAGACAGCAGCTCAGGGAGAGCCTTCTCCTCCCTGTTCAGGATAGGTTTTACTCTTTCTTCCCCTCTGGGATGACTGAAGCTGTGGAAGTTCAAGAAAGATGCCAGTTGTGCATTCCGATTGAAAATTGTTTTAATACTATAAAACTCATTTTTTCACATATTTTGTACAAAAGTTGAGTTGTTTTCTCTTAATTACAGGAGAATCATTTCAAGCTTGAGAATTCAGCTAAGTAGGTCCAAAACAAAACAAGACTGGGTTCTACTGGTTCTGGAGGGTCCCAATTCAGCTCACCCAAGGTCTCTTTCCAGTTTGGCTCTCACAGTTATGGACCACCTTGATGGAAAATACCCCACATCATCATTGACTCTTCGGAGGCTTGTAGTGAATTCGGCACCGCTCATTAAATACCTGAAACACCAAAACAGAAGAGCAAAAGTGAATCAACCCCATCCAGGAAATGAGCAGAACTTCACAGACAGTTCAGGCAACTACCTCAACCTGGGCACCCATCTCAAGCTGCCCAAGCTCTGAGATATCAATAAATGACACTTACCAAGACATCCATCTCCATTCACCTTCACTCCTGGCTTTAGTAAATCCAAAGTATGCAGCCTGATGTTGAGAAACTGCACAGCACTAAGTGTTCTCCCTCAGAAAATGCAGACTCTTAATCCTGGCAGGCTGTTATCATCAAAAATGCTGATGCCTTTTTGTTTTTAAAAGAGAGGGAAATAATCATGGGAAGGCTCCTGAATGGTTGTGTTCTGTTAGGTTCACTCTGGCTTTCAAATTTGGGTGCTGTATTCCTGTCTTTCCTGAGCAGGCACATTTTACATTGGCATGACAGCCAAGAAGAGGGGCAAGGGCTCCTGAAAGCCATGTGCACACTTCCAGTGCTCTGCCTGCCTGTGCCAATGCTGCCAGCACTCCCTGCAAAGGGCAGAGCACTCCTGCCTCACTCACCTCTGGCACCTTCTCTGGGTAAAATTTAGCCTCCAGAACTGGATACTGAGGATCGTGTATATTTAGCTTGAACTGCCGCCAGCCTGCCCTAAGGAGGGCCAAAAAACGTGACTGTTTAAAGTAAGGCAGCCTGAATCCAAAGCAAAACACACAGGCTCCCACCAAGGCTGCAAGTGCTCTTCACAAGCCATTCAGTTATTTATCAGTTTTTATCCCAACTTGTCCAGCACGAGTCATGAAAGCGACACAAGCACCACCTGACACCAAGCTGAGCTCTGGCAGGTGTTGGCTGTCCCACCAGCATTCCCACAAGACCATATTTTGCCAAGCTGTCCAGGGATTTGGTAGATCCAAGTGCCTGTGATCATCAGGATATGAAGTTTCATGAACTCTCCCACTGGCTTTATGTGCAAAGTGAGTGATCTTGTAATTTTGGGGAAGTTATCCAACACTTTATATAAATACGCGGTTTCAAGCTCTATCTTCCTAGAATCTTCTACAGCAGATCTTATTCACAGTTCAGAACCTATGGCAACTTCAGCAAAAGTGAAGCCTGGAGCACACATTCATTACAGCATTGCTTCTCAACAATTTTGGAGCAATTTTCAACTACCTTTCAAATTTAATTTATTTAAAGAAGTAGACATGTATTGCAAACTGCTTCATACTGCAGAAAACAAAAGCTGTGATATAGTTTCTTTCACACACAGAAATGTGCAGCCATTATGTTACCACATGGAATGGACACCTCTGGAAGAGTTCAGATGAGGTAAAGGTTTGAGATCAGTGATAGGAGGAAACTGTAGAAATTAAGAGCAACAGCATCAAGTCCAATGCAGAAACATTTTACTACTAAACAAATTGAACAGGTTTTCGTCCATTGTCTGTTAATGACATTTTAATGGCATATATGTCTAAATATGTCTACATCATGTCTAAAAGGGTGCTGGAAATACTCTCTAAAGCACTGCAAGTGTCTCTAGCATCAAACAACACACCAGCTTGCTTGCTATCATGCTAACTTTCAAAGTATCTTCAACAGTAACTCCACAACCTGTGGCAGCAAAATCAATACTGCAGTTTTACTAACACTGCCTCCTTCTTTTAGGATCACTGGCTCACAGATCTCAGTGTGTTACTCAGGCCACTTAAATCCACTGGTCTACCTGTGAAGTGCTATTCTCATTTTTTCAGACATTTTTCAGGAAAAGCAATGGCTGAAAAACCTTAAAATTCATGTTACTAGGCAAAAGTTTGATTTTGCTGGCTTTTACATATTTGTATAAACCGTTCCAACAATAAACTCCAATCTGGAGGTGCTGGACAGAGACTAATGCAAGTGTCTTGTTTGAAAGTCAATTCCTTGTTTGGTATCATCCAAATTTCACACACATTTCTGTAAAGTAGCATCCTTCTGTATGCCACTATTGCTACAGTCAGCCAGTGTTTAAAAATCTGTTTCCTAATCAGATTTTTCCAATTAGCTTTCAGTTGTTTAGGATTAATGGAAATACACAAGTGTGCTTCCCAACCAGAAGTCTCCAACAGTAAAACACCCCAGCCTGCACACCAATAATCACTTCCATGTAACAAATTGCATTCAGTGTGCAACCACGACTGGCTCTAATTGACATTTTAACAGGCAGCTAAAGGAAACATTTATGTGTATATTCAGAGCACAGTACAGCATGGCTGGAGATAAAACCCAGAAATATTTATCTCTTCAAGCCCTACTCTGAACATTGGCTGAGGAATACACTAGCAGGCTAAAGTACCCCTGCACCATGCATACCTCACTTTTTATCAACTCTCCATCTTCAGGAAAAATTAGACAGTTCTGTCACCAGTAAAAGCTTAATGCAACTACAAGAAATCTCTGGGATCATGACTAAATTTGGTGCTTCAGAATGAAGATTGGGGTGGGGGCTGTTCCCTATAGCAGAGTCACCATAAGATATTTGCCCCTGGTGAGCTGCATCATGTTGTTGTAAAGGCTGTGGCACTGTTTAGTCAGATCTGAGAGGGTTTAAAATTAAACTGAAGTGCATGCTTACCTTTTTTGGGACAGTACAGAGGTGTGCTGATGGCAAAGCATATGCAGAAAACCGTAAATGCTCATTTCATCAGCCTGCACTGAGATAACTGATGAACACCCAAGACATAAAGCTGCATTGGTTTTACACTGGTGCAATCTAGGGGACTAAAATCATGAAGTAGTGATTAAAAAGGCAGGTGCAGCTAGTACTGGCTATTTGCAAAAATCCTTTTTGCATTTACAGAGGGAAAGAGGTTCTTTACAGTATTGAAAGCTCTGAAAAGCTACATCAAACCAGAAAAAGATGCCAGATGTGAAATGCTGCAGTGACACAATACAGCCACCTCAGAATTTCAGCTCAGTGTTAAAATCACCAGATAGACTTCAGGGCCATCAATCCAGAGGGTGATCTGCACCCTCTGCTGACACAGGAGAGCAATGGCAAGGCTGCCCTTTGCACCAGGGAGTGTCTGTTCAGGCCTGAAGAAACTCCATCAGGAAAAGGTTAAACTTCCACAGCCTCACCCTCCCCTGGGCTTTGCTCAGAGTTGTGATCAGCACCAGATACAGGCAAATGTGAAAGACCCTTCTCTCTGACATTGGTAGAGGCCCTGAAAAACTTTTCAGAAGTCACCACAGAAAAGCCTACCAAAGTGCTCAGCCACTGGCAAGGAGGAGAAAGAGACACAGGGAATGTCCTTCCTCCATGCTAAATCAGATGCTTTTCTTCCCCTGGCAGTGCAACTGAAAAGTTTTGATCTCTGCATCCAGAACTGGGAAAATGACTGACTTGAAGCATTTCCCCCAGCAGTGCCCTCATCTATTTCTAGTTAACCTGCTTCACAAGGCACCAGTCCCACACCTCCAGTGCAGGACTGTCTGTTGGGACAGAACATCACCACTACTAAATGACTGAGTACCTTCCAGCTTCTGTCGTTTACCACTTCTTCAACATTGAGCTCCGACTGCATCAATTTCAACTGCAGAAAATAACAGATAAAAGGGTTACTGTCAAACAGGTCTCCCTGCAGCCTTCAGTATTTATTACAAGTGTAACTTTCCAGCTCCCAACCCCAGCACCAGGTGCACACCTCCTGTGATGGTGCAAAACCAAAGGGCACGATGTGTAATCACCCTGGGAGCCTGGCCCTTCCAGTCAGCCAGTGCTCAGGGCACACACAGTTCTGCAAGGGCACAGACTCACAAAGCAAGCCTGGCAGTAGATCCTGATTACTCATGCTCTATTCCTAAATAATGCCCACCAAGATTTGCAAGCAATTAACTGATTAAAATGAATGGCTTCACAGGCACAAATAACTGCACCTAATGCAAGCCCTGAGCACAGGGAATGCCAGGGCTGGGGTTAGCTCTGCAGCCTTGAGTTGCCACTCTTGCATTATTAGAGTCATTTATGAAGCTGGCAGCAAAGCTAGGAATCCAGCTAGGATTCTGGATTTAAAACTAGGGTTACGAACAGACCCTCTCTGCCTCATTTGTCACCTACTCAGTGCACTGACCAAAAAGGGTCTGCAGTCTGATCACGTGTTGCTCGTGCTGTCTGAAGCAGTTAATATTTTATGTCATCACTGCAGGAAAAACCAGCTCCACACAGATGCAAAAGCTCTGGCAAGAACCACCAGCAATACACAGCTCTTGAGCACTCACTTGACCTGTGAGAAGGGTAAGAATCTCTTTGCTTCACAGCTACTGGAAACCCCAAGGGGTAGGTGTGATGTGTTTGGGTAATTTGGTCCTGAGGCAGTAGTAGGAGATTTAAGAACCATCTGCCATTTTTGTCCAAATTTAGGATATATTCTTGTTGGAGTCTTTAACACAACAAAGAGTCAGAGTTTATTCATTTTCAATACGTGGTTCCAATTAGAGGCCTGGTGAACAGGTGCAAGCCAAGACAGCAATCCAATTTAAAACCTTCCAAGTAAGATATCCAGGAACACAGAGCTGCTACAGCTGTTGTATGCACTTTCCCAACTCAACAGGACTTCAATCTGTTTGAAATAACAATCCAGAGTGACTGGATCACCAGGATAAGTCTCTATAAAATAAACACTCAGAGGATCTTTAGTAGTTCAAAGAAACTACTACTCCAAGTTTTCTCATTCAGTGACTCAAAAGTAATAATTTTGCATGAAGTCCTCCAAGTTGTACAAGTAGCAGGATCAGAGAAACACACATAACAAGGGAAAAGAGATCTATACTGCAAGCAAGTGAAGAGATATTTGAAATTCCCACTCTTAAAACTAGGATGTGTTCTGTCAAGTTAGCTTTTCTGACTTGTAGAAAAAAGACAACTCTGTGTGTTTTGGAGAGCTAAAAAAAAGCAGGGGGATCACACCTCATAAGGTCCAAGTACAAATCTGAGGTGATCTCATAAAGACATTCTGAAATGTTTCTAAGTCACGGAATGCTTTCAACATTTGAAGCCATCTCCAATCATTAAACACTTTCATTGTGATCTTCCCAGTGTTTTCAGTAAGAGATTTCAGTCTCAGTAACTAAATGATTTAAAGAACTGGCTCTGCTAACAAAATTTGTAGAAAGTACTATGCTACCACTCCAGTTTTCCAAATTAATATCCATGCTTGTTAGCAGTTCAATAACTGAGGCTTTAAGAATAAAACTGCTCATCTGCTACATGCTGCTCTCAGTTACAAAAGGGGTCCTGGAAGTGAGGTGAGAACTTCAATGGGGTTCCTTTCTCCACTACTGATACTCAATCCCCTCTAGTAAAGTACTTCCCACCCACATGCCAGAAGGCTGAGAGGGCATTTGCACATTAGAATTCTGTGTGCAAACCCAGAAGTCTCTCTCTCACACCATCACAAGGTACTCCAAATATTAATCCAAGAAACACCAGACAGCAAAAAGGTTGTGTAAATGGAATTCAAGATTGCCTGGGAGCATCTTGTAGCAAACAGGAAAAGTCAAGCTTTGTCTCAGTGGTATCAGTCAGCGAAGGTTAGAATCCACCATGGGAAAGAATGTGTGTTTTGCTACAGCATTTGTGTAGAAGAATCTCAGGAAAGGCTCCAGTTGCAGGATAAAAGCAGCTCTCTGCCTTTTGAGGCCTTGGGAAAATAATTCCCACAAGAGCCAACGAGAACCTTGGAAAAGACTGCTTGACTGAGGATCCACTTCAGGTTCTCTCCATCACACTGGTCTTTCCGTTTGGGAAAGATACCCACTTCTTCCTCTACAAGTGATCTCTCAAAGGCTCCACCACTCACCTTTGTCTGCTCTTTCCTGAGTTGCTTTAATAATGCTGCATCTTCATGGGCCTTTTCCCTCTCCTCTTTGAGCGTTTTCACTACAGCAGAAGTCTGAGAGATGCAGTTTTTGATGATTCTTTCTCTATTGGTGTGAGCATCCATCAACTAAGTGGGGAGAAAAATAAAGTCTCAGTGACTCATCAGAGAATAAAAACCTCCTAGTTGCAAGTTTAAAGAGACACTTTCTAAAGTCATGGTATTGCTGTGCCTACAGAAATCCCTTTGAATTCATAATCCATGTGTGGGAAACAACACTGCTTTGAGCACCAGCTACTCTCAACTTAGACTATCCTGTCATTCTTGCTCTTACCAAGTTGACCAAAAGTCAAAGGTAAACATGAGGAGTCTTGCAGAGCAGCAGGAAAAGCATGCACCCTTTTGAAAAGATCCTCAAAGGATCAGTACTGCAGACCACAGAACTTCCCTGCATGGTTTTAAACTGAAGCAGTGTGTGGAGATGTTGAGCAGGACAGACAGGAATACACAAAGCTGGATCTACCAAGGCAGTGTTTTCCTCAGACACTGAGGATGCTTTACTGGCCACTGCACACGACAAAGCAGCGGGAAGGGAGCTGAAGTGGAAGGTGAGCACACTCACAGACTCGTACAACTCTTTACACGTCTGGCCAGGATCAACTTTCCCCACAAAGGAAGCTGTTGGAATCGTAGTGTTTAATTCATGAACAATTCTATCGTCGATTGTCCTCATCACCCTGAGCAGCTCCTGTATTAAAAAAGAGAGAGATACTTGGTTATATCTCTCAGAAAAGCCGATTACAAAAAATTTGCATAGCCAAGCATTTTAATAGACACTAAATAGGATTCCTTACATAGAGTTAAAAGCACACAAAGGAGCAATCTCACATGCAGGAGTATGTGCTGCAAACCACAGAGTTTCCTTGGCAGCAAAGGCCAGAGCAGAAGAGTTAAAAGCACACCAAGGGAGCAATCTCACATGCAGGATTATGTGCTGCAAACCACAGAGTTTCCTTGGCAGCAAAGGCCAGAGCAGGGGTGAGCAGCTGATGCCCCCTGAAGTCCCCTGGCCCTGCAGGGACAGGCTGAAGAGCCTGTGCCCAAGTCCCCGTCCCCACTTCCACACAGGAAACTGGGCACAGCCTGCACCAGAACGGCAAACTTTGAATAAACGCTCCCACCATTCTGGGGGGCCTGAAGCTGAGCTGGGAGAGGTTTCGGTTGGGTCGCAGGAAAAAGTTTTTCATGCAGAGAGTGGCTGAGCACTGGAACAGGCTCCTCAGGGCAGTGGTCACAGCACCATCCCGACAGAGTTCAAGAAGTGTTTGGAGAACACCCTCAGGCACCTGGTGTGACCCCTGGGGTGTCCTGTGCAGGGCAGGAGCTGGACTCGGTGATTCCTGAGGCTCCCTAGCTACTCAGGATATTCTGGGATCCCGTGTTCGACACACAGGCCGGCTCCCACGGCCCCGCCGGCCTGGGCCCCGCTCGCAGCGCCGAACACGGGTGGCACCGTGCCACGCTCCCTCAGACCCGCGGAGGCGCCCACGGAGCTCCCGCCGCCCGCGTGGCTCCCGCGCCGCGAGCGCTCCGTCCCGGGAAAGGGACCTGCGGGGAAGGGGAGGTGTCCGGCCCCGCTCCTGCCGGAGGAAAGCGGGAAGGGGAGGGGGGAAGGCCGGACCCTGCTCCCTTCCCGCCGCATCCCGCCGGCCGCGAGGAGCGGGGTGACCTCGCGCACGGGGCGCGCGCTCCCGCGGGGCCGTTCGCCGGGAGGCGGCGGGAGCGCGCGGGGCGCGGGAGGGGGCGGCGGCGGCGGCGGCGCCCGGCCCGGCCCGGCTCGTCCCCGCCCGCCCCGCGCGGGTTACCTGGAACTCGGCGAAGTCCTCGCAGCTCGCGGCTCGGCTGGGCGCCGCCATCCTGGATCGGCCGAGGGAGCCGCGGCGCCCAATCCGGCGGGGAGCCGGGATGACGCGCGGGGCGGAGCGGGGCGGGACCCGCCGGAGCGCGGCCCCCGGCGCCGCGGCCCCCAGTCGGGCATCACTACCGGCAGCGGCCTCGCGGCCCCTTCGCCTTCTCCAGCCGCTGCGGGAGCTCCGGCCGCCCCCACCGGAGGCGGTGTCGGCCCCGAGCGTCCCCCGGCGCGGCTCCCTCCAATCGCGGGCACGGGGCGGGGCCCAGCGGTGACATTGAGCGGCGCCCAGCCGGGCCGGGGCAGCGCCATGTGGGGCCGCGCCGGTGAGTGAGGGAGGCAGGGAGTGACCGAGCCCCGCGGCCGGGCCGCGGCTGCCGCCGCTTCGCCTCCTCCCCGGGACGCCGAGCGGCCGGGCCCGGAGCGCGGAGCGGGGCGATCCCGGCCGGCGCCGCGGCGGGAGCGGAGCCGGGCGTGAGGGGCCGTGTGTGATGGACTGGCGTCCAAAACACTGACAGGAGCGGGGCTGTGCCTCGGCTCCTCTAGAGAGCGTGAAAAGGGGCCCGTTTCGCTGGGGGTGTCGCCTGTAAATGTAAAGTGCTGTTCTTTCAGAGCGGGAGTGTATTATTCCTCGAAAGTAAAGGGCCTTAGGAGAGACACCTTCCGACAGTATAACAAAGTAAAGAAAGAACTCATTTTCTATTTTTTAAAGTGCCCTTTTTTGCTTTTCTGAGTTAATTTGGTTGTTTGGGGTTTTTTTTTCCCCCGAACTTTTTCATTGTGTTAATTAATGCATTAGAAGCACCTTCTGTGAAGTATGTGTTGGTATATAAGGTGCCCTGGCCTTTTCTAATGCGCTACAAAGTAGTTATCTCTCAGTGTTAAATATTCTGCCTTTTTGTCCTGACTCTGTCAATGCTTTTGGGATGTGGTAGAATGCAGTCCTTGAAACAGCACCATCCAAAGTGTACGTGAAGCATATGTATAGATTAGTTCCTGGAAATTGTAATGTGTTTTAGAAATTGCTGGCAGGACATTGTCTTGCATTTTTTTTCCTAAATGAATTTAATTGCATTCACATTTTTCTACATAGGATTACTGAGCAAGCTCAAGGCATACCTTATAAATAAGCTTTAATTTCTTTGGTAGGCTGTTACAACTAAATCTGGTACTTCTTGAGTTAATTTGTATGTATTGATTTTCTTTCTTTTTTTCCTCTTGTGTTAAAAAACCCCCAAAATGCTTCAATTGAAAAGCTGGTTCCCACTTTCTACTGCTCTGAGTTAAATTTGGCCTCTTTGCTTCCTCTGCTTTCTCTTCCAGATAGGGCTGTTAAACTGCTGGCAAGAAATATTCCCTCAGTTCTGAGGATGACCGAGGGAGTGGACCCGAAGATAAGCAGAAGGCTGTGCACTAAACCCCAGCAAAACCTTCAGACAAAGAGTAAGAGTCTTTGATAAAGTCACGGAATGTTTCATTCCATGGAATACTCGCATATCTGTGCTGCAATCATCTCTGCAGAAATTTGGCTGACACAGGTGGTTATATCCCTGATTTTGTGAGAGTTCTGGTCTCTAGAGTGAAAAATGGAGCATTAAATTTGGTGAAGTCTTGTTTTCCAACAAAAAGCCAGGGGTCAATGTTTCCACTTGTGACGGTCACACAGCATTCACTTTGTAGCAGATCACCAGAACCTTATCTAGTGCACACTCCTACACTGAGGCTCCTCAGCTCTGCTCTGGAACTGCCTGTTCAGCCCCACTGTAAACTGTTCATGTTTAGGAATGTTGTGTGAGCTAAAAGACTTTTGCAGTTTTTCGGAGTGCAGCCAGCTCCAGCTGTTCCAAAAACTGAACGTGCCCTGCAGGGAAGAGTCTGAGTTGTTCACGTTTAAGGGTGGAGCTGGTTAGGGAAAGCTCAGGCCATGAAACATTTTTTCACTATATATGGGACAGTTTCTGTGCTCCCTGTATCACAGGTTCCTTATGGCCCACCATGCAGGAGAAAAGGAGCAGGCAGATGTGAAGCATTTGGCATGACTCTGTTAAAAACATGGATCAGCTGTACTGGGTAGGAAAAAGGTCTCCTTAAAAGTGTGCTGTCTCCAGCAGGGACCAGTAAAGGAAGTCCCATATGTTTTTGTGAAGTGAGAATGGTGACCTACAGCAAGAACCTAAGGAAGAGAATAGGAAGAGGGTTCCTCTATACCACTGGCCCAGAGGTGGCATCTTGGTGTTTAATAGGCCTCACTGGATTTTTTTTTTTTTCAAACAAATTTGCCCAGTTTCCTGAAGCTGGATGTATTTTTAACATCCACATTCCCTAAGAATTTCTTCTCTAAGGAGAAATTCCTCAGCTACAGTCTTGTGTTTGTTTTTTAACCCGATGTGCACTTTTTTATAATCTGATTTTCCTCTATTCAGTACCCCTTCCAAACCAAGACCTCATTATAACCCACACTCCCAATGTCTCTTACAGTGCTCTGCTGGGCTGAAGAGAGCTTCAGTCACTGCTTTTCCAGGCCAAAGGGTCTCAGTCTGTGACAGTTTCTTACATGGTGACCATTCCATATCTGTGCCTGTGCTTGCCAGGGTTCTCTGTGCCTGTTGTTTCAGCTCCTCTGAGTATTTCCCATGCTTTTCAAAAAGCTGGAGTCACAGTTTCACACCGAGGCACAGTAATGCTGTTGTGTTGGTCTGAGTTTCTGATCATTGACAGTTAGGCTGTTTTCCTCTCTCATTTGCCAAAACCACTGTGGAACCCCAAGGCCTAGGTAATGATTTATAAGTGAGGGCAGAGTCTGCCACGTGTGTGTGAACTGGAATTGCTTCCTGTTTATGGACAAGGGAGTTCCCAGGCCAATTCACTGACTCTGAGGTCTGAAGCCCCGTGGTATTTTGGGCTCAGCTCTCTTCTTTATGTTTTTTAATAACCTGGTGTTGTCAGCAAACAGTATCCACCCCACTTCCTAGATAATTCATGAATCCATGAGGGAGAACATGGCCATACAGGATACTGCCTATTGTTTATAAGGAAAAAGCTGTCTATCTTTGCACTTTGTTTCTTAGATTTTAATGGTATGTTATATATGAAAAGCTTCCCCTGTTACATTATGGATATTTTGTTAATGGAGTTTGAAAGACTGACCTGCAAATTATGTGCCCAATCTTTGCCTATGGTTATCTGTTTATTTATACCTTCGGATAAAATCTTACACTGCCTGAAAAAGTTAACATTCTGTGACGTTATATTGACTTTTACTGTTATTGTGCAGCATGTTGACTTTTCTCTAGCTGTTCCATTTGATTTCTTTTTTTTAAACCTTATTTAAATGAAATAGAAAAACAGTTAGGAACCTTAGATGCTGGAGCAGCTTCTGCAGATACAGAGGTTTGGAGAAGAATTTCCCTTTCCTTACATGGCTTCAGTTTAATCCATGTTCACAAGTGTGTTAATCTGTGATACAGTTTTCATTCTCTAACCACCTCTAGCAATCATATTTAGAGTTCTGCATTGCCCATCCTAACTGGTTTTGTTACAGCTCTGACCATCCACCCTCTCTGACTTGTTTTTGGTGGTGTTTTGTTGTTTTGTCTTCGTGTGTTTTGTTGGGGGTTTTTTAGGTGGATCTCGTTCGGGAGTGCCTGGATACAGGCCTACACCCTGGGAGAGAAGGTTTTTGCTGTGGGCAGGCCATTACAAAAAGCCAGAGGATATTCCAGAGACTGTCTCGTAAGTGTTGCTTTTGAAACTGTAAAAGAGACTTTGTTTATGCAGAAACAAGTTACTTGCATGCAACTCCAGAGTAACTTTTTAGAAAAGGAATGGGTTTGCACAGCTGAAAAACCTTACCTTGCTGTGTTTGGTGTATCATCCTTGTAGATGAAATGACCTCAGCAATTCTCTTGTGCTAAGATAATGTATCACTCTTGATTTTTTTTTTCCTTTTTTTGCAAAGGGTTGACCAGCATTTATCAGTTGTTTCATTAGAAAACCATGTCAGATCAGTTCATTTTTACTCTTCTCTCACAATTAGAAAGCTTTTTTCAAACATTAGTGTGAGCTTTTTATAATGTTTTTCATTATATGTCAGTCTCTTGCAGTGGGAAACTTTCATATACCGCTGTAAAATAAGTGAAACTCATAGAAGTATTTATTAATGAATACCTAAAGGGCATGGGCTAACTTCCTTTACTGTTGGAATTTAAACTAGCAAACAGTTTTAAGGCTCCCTAACTATAGTCAAAATTTCCCTATTGCTGCTGAGTCCAAATGTCAAAAGCTGTGTCCCATGTGAAAAGTAGAAAATAAAACTGGATGTTCTAGTTTGCACACCAAAAATAAAGCTCAAACTTATCACCAACAGACAACTGCTAGCTTAAAAAACATTCCTAGTGGTAGTATAGTTAGCTTTTAAAACATGCTCGCAATGCTTTTAAATACATGTATTTATTTAAATTAAAAATAAACAGTAAATCTTGCACTACCGGAGTAAGAAAATGATGTAGCTGCCCTCTTACGTATTTTCTGTTTGGATGCACCACGTGGGAATTGAAAATCCACCCCTGTATTTAAATGTATCAGAATGAATGAATTTTGTTAAAAGTGGAATCCTTCCATTTTGTATTGAATCATTTTTCTTAAAACTACATTTAAAATACATACAGGAGTAAATTATTAAAACTTACTATCACTTCATATATTTTTGCATACCAAACACTTGTTATGAGTGTTTTTAAGAAAACAGAGTTAGCAGAGTGATTGATTTCAGTAGTTTATTGAAAGGACAAACCAACTTCTGATAAAAGCTGACCATTTCTGCAAGTGCATAGGGAATTCTTTTTATTTAGACAAGTAATTCAGCCAAATCTGAGAAGACAATTGAGAACTATAAAAGCACAAAAACTTGTTTTCCTGTTCTGAGATTAATTAATTAATCTGAGATTAATTATGTGTTGTAAGGACTTGTGCTATAACTCGGTAATCTTGTAAAATGTGGTGAAGCAACCCATTTATTAAACAAACGTTAAACTTAGCCACTGAACTGATTTAAAATGCAAGTTGTGTTTAGATATCTACCTTTTGCTCTTGTAAATTCTTAACACATCTAAGATATTTCCAAAATTAACCAGCAAACTTTTTTAATCCTACTGCTGTGCATTTCAGCTTAATTGCAGCCTGCACTCAAGGCTTTCACTGCAGATTATTAGCAGAAGCAAATAACCTGGATGCTAAAATTAACCATTAGTTTCATTGTAGATGGATGTGTTTGTTCCCTATGATCAGAAATCTTGTACTCAAATCAATGCTCTGACAAAAACAAGAACAAAACTTCTCAGCTCTCAGGTCCTGTGTGATTTACCACACTGAACTACCATGGATCCTGAAGTACCTTTTTTTTTCTACCAAATGTAAGGGTCAAAATGTAGTAACAGATTCCATATTCACTCATGTTTATGTACAGTGATAATTTCCCAGTTCCATTAAATACATTCTCCACGTTACTTCTGGGATATAATTAACCAGTTTGATGCATTTATTCTTTTCATTACACAGTGTTGGTGCTTCTCCAGTGTTCTGGAATTTTGTCATGTGCCAAATGTAATGAGTGAGAGTATCAGCCTTTTTTGAGAAGGGAGTTATCTGCCCTAAGTTCTGCCAGGAGAGTTAAATATACAGGGCGTAGGTCTTTGGTTATTATGGAAAGCACTTCTAAAAAGCATTAATGCTTCAATGGCCCTTTCTGCATTGTTCTCTCTAACACAGACTTAAAACCTGCTGTAACCAAGATGTCATTTGGGTAGAATGATCTTCAGAGTTAACTCAAGAAAATATGATCTTTGTTTTTACTCTCTACACAGCTGGAAGGTGTCAATAACTGCTACTCTTCTGGTGGAAGACTTCTGGTTTTTCAAAGATAACAGCAGAGTAGGCAACAGGTTTCCCAAAGGATGGTATAGCTACTGGTGTGGCTAGCTAAGCCTCCCAAAAATTAAAAAAAAATAAAAATTAAAGAGTTCCTCTGTCCAGAGCTGATGTAGGGAAGCTTACAATCCTCCATGCCTCAGTTTCTCAGGGAAGCAGATCACTTTAGGACTATTTACTCCAGCAGGAGTGGGGACCACTGGTCGTTTACCAAGTCCTGTTCAGAATTTCTGAATGTTGCATTCAGCAGCCTGTGTGTCACTTATTGCACTTTCAAGTCCTGTAGCAGAGGAAGCACCTTGCTGGGAAATAAGACTGCATCATAAATGAAACCACTGTGAAGTTCAGGCAGAAGAAATTGCAAAGCTGTGCTAACACTTCCCTCTGCCCAATGAAGTCTCAACTGTTAAAACACCACATTTTGGGTTTTACCAGACTTCTGCTATTAAGAGAAAAGATGCATATTTTACTATGTTAAATACATCACAATTATAATACAGATGAGTTCTCCCTGACTTTGTGGATATTGGAAGGTGGTAGTGAGCACAGAGGGAGCTGACAGTAAGAAAAACACAGTATTGGTTAAACCATTCCTCTCTTTTTCCAGTTCTTTCCATAACGAACAAACAGACTTAAATCCCGCAGCCTTCCTCCTTTGCATTGCAGTCAAATGGTCTGCAAAGGCAGTATTTCATCCATAGAGTGAGCTAAGTTTAAAAAGTTGGGCTTGTTTCCAGCTTTGAGAGGAATGCCTCTGTTACCATGTATCTCCCAAGGTACTTAGAGATCAGCCTTTCCTTGTAAAACTTCTTTGTGCAAAGAGCCAAGTGCTGTTAGCATTCCACAAAACTACCAAGACAGCACACTAGGAGAAATTAAATAATTAGCCAAGTGAATTATTTGGGTCTCTGATAATGAGTGTGTTCTTTTATTCCTTATTGAGGCTTGAGACAGTGAGAGCAGCAACAACCACCCTGCGTGTGAAGTTCAGCTATGTCATGATTGCCTTGACAATAGTGGGATGCATCGTCATGGTGATCAGAGGGAAGCAGGTAAGCACAGAATTTGGGCTGATGAGGGCAAATAAACCTTCATTTAAACTTCTTTGTTCCTCTATGGATTTTTAGTACTGTCTTGCTTTGGGGGTTTGGGGTTTTTTGTTTGTTTTGGGGTTTTTTGGTCATTTTATCACTGAACAAAATTTTAACAAGTCCTCCTGGTTCCCCAGAAGTGACCCTCAATGACTAATTCTCATCAGAAAAGGATGATGTCGCCATTAAGATGCTTCCTTTAAACAAAAACCCCTGAGGTTAAAGCGTCTGTGTGGCAGAAGAACCTTATTTGTTATGCTGCCTCTCTTCTGATGGCAATGTTCAGGTCTGGTTTCTATGGACTGCTGTGTTCTAGAGAAACCTTGAAAGTAGTGACAGTCTTAACCCCAGCACTGTGAGCTACTGAATGTCACCTGACATTTTGCATCAGAATTCGTCCATTACAATGAAAAGGATGCAGCCCTCTGAAACAGTGGAAGGATTTTTCCAGGCTTTAACAGCAGAGATCAAACACTGATGATTCCCAGAGCATTTTCCTCTGTATTGGAGAAGTATGAATGCAAGTACCAGGAAGAGACGACAGCTACTTTGGAATCCTTGTTTTCAAAGCAGCTGGAATTATTTATGTTTCCTGAGATGAGCTCAGTTGGCCAGAGAATGGTGCCAGTAACGCCAAGGTTACAAGTTTTATTCCCCAGTGGGCCATTCAGTGAAGAGCTGGAATTGATAATCCATGTAGGCCCTTCCATCTCAAAATATTCTGTGAGTCTGTGATTATGTTTAACTTTTGATTTGTTTCTCTGTCTCGTTAAAATCAGATCAGTATTAAATACTGACCAGAAGCACAGAATCTATCTGCTAGTGCCTTGAAAAAAAGGTTTCATTTATTCCCAGAGAAGTAATTACTTTCAGCCAAAATAATCTCTCAGTATTTTATTTTAACCCTCTTGGCTTCCTGGCATTAAAGCTGACAGAACTGTGCCTTGGTGAGGATAGGTCAGGTATTTTGTAAGTTATTGATTCAAGTTTCAACTCTGTGGTCTTTCAGGTGATAACTGATGATCTCATTACATTGTAGGATATGAAAAGACATGAATCTCTTACAAAAATAAACTTGGAGAAGAAAGCCCAGTGGAGAGCGGAAGGTGCATCTGCTAAACCATAGAGGAGGAAATGAAGAGATCAAGAACTGGGGTAGAAAAGCGAAGTCCCTTTCAGCACTGACAGGAGGATATCATCACATCTTTCCTGTATGTTAGTTCTGTACACTCTTGTCCAAGAAAGAATGAATATGCTGTCTTGTAATCAATAAAACCAGAAATACCTATTTTCTTTTCCTTTTAACTGCTCCTTTCTTCCAAACTCTTTTCTTCACGGTTAGTGGGACAGGACACATGAGCACAGTGGATAAGTAATGTAATTGTTTCCCATGTGCTGTGCACCAGAGCATCTTTTAAAGTACTGCAGGACCTGTACCTGCATTCTTGGTACCAATCCCCTGCATGAAGTCTTACGCTCTTACTTACCACTGACAGGAAGGTAACTGTAACACAAAAGAAGGGTCCATTTGGTTTCCACTTGTACAAACAAAATACCTTCACTAGCCAGCCATCCACTGTCACTGACTATTTCAGGTTTCCTCAGCAAGAATGGAACTGTATTTTTTCTGTATTGGTACTGGCTACTTCAAATAATCCACATGTTCCTCTGTGCAAGACAGAACAATTCTTAAGGGAGCCCTTGAGCCAAAAGTTATTGGCTGACCTGCATTAACATCAGCAAAATGATCCTAAGGTATCAGAAAGCCTAATTCCCTGGTCTAGGTCCTGTTAATCTGTTTACATTTGTTAAGTGAGGGATAACTTCCTGTGAAGAACTGTTTGCCTTCAAGAAAATGAGGAAGGAGATGAAGAGTGAAATAGCATTCCAGAGAACCATGGTGTTGCAGCTGACGCCTAACAGCGGTCCCAGCAGAGCTGGCAGTGAGATGAGAAAACATCCAAGCTGAGGGAACAGAGATGACTATTTTGAGGAATACTGAGCAACTGATTCAACCTGTACTGTCAGATTTATTTTAGAGGCACATGAATATGAGAAAGTCAATCAAGCATTCTTGCTCTCTGCTACTAAGCTCTTTCTTTATTAATCTCACTTAGATTTATATGTATTTTGCTCTTTTGCTCTTTTAAATTGTTGTCTATGGTTTCATCATACTAGGCCCACCTAGAGATCACCTGCCTCAAGAGTGCTATTTCTGGCATTGAGCCCAGTCACGCACTATTCTTGCTGAAAAGCCCACAGTAACCAAGGGAAGTATTTTCCTTCCTCCTTTCACTTCATCTGGAAGGAAATGTAGATTGGAAGTGTCAGGACTGCTCAGAATGTTACTGCCCAGCACTGCCCTGCTGACTGGCCCTGGGGACTCCAAAACCAAAAGAGACATATCAGCTTAACAAAATTAGTTTGTGAGCTTTCTCAGAGTGAGAGGGAGATTATTTTTGTTGTACCTCTAAAAATTAGAAGTATTGCTGAATAATTAAAAGCCCTACAAAAATGCAGGGTAAATCTTCACTAGCTGCTGCAGTTCCATCTATGAATTGCATTTCTGAGCACCACAGTGAGATGTAACCTATCAGAAAAGCTGTGTAGTCAATTCCATCACAGAAGTCACAACCTTCAGGTGATACAATGATCTGTCATCAGATTCTCTGGATGGAAATAATCATAAGTACACTGTCAATCAAGCAGAGCAGGATTGCACAGATTTGTCCACTTAATTAGCACTGAATGCAAGCCATATTTCATTTCACTGCAGGTATGTGAATAGATTTTCCATGACAATTCTGGTTCTTTGCCACACCAGCAGGCACACAGGTGGGAACCAAAACAAAATCCTGCCCAATTACATGCCTGTGGTCATGCATGTACTAAATGACACCAAAAAAGGGAACGTGCATTTCAGGTTTCTGTGGAGAGAAACTTGTGATTTATGTTTGGTGATGGCAAAGCTTAAAACTGCGCATCTCAAAAATATCACCCTTTCAACACACCTCTGAGTGCACTCTGTGAACAGAATTGGCAGCTACCTCTCCTAGTTTTGGAAATTAAACTATTTGGACTCATCCAGCTGGTAAAGTACTTCAAATAAAAATATGCAAAACACCACTTCAAAAGCAACACTTCAGAGCAGCAACACTAACCATTGTTTCATTTTACAAATTTCTATAAGTTTTATGCCATTTACTCAAAAACAGAAGTCTGGTCCAGTGGTTTGACAAAAGCTCCACATATCCTTCTGTCAGCCTGGTATCTCCACCATTTCAAAATATGGCACAAAGACTCTGTATCACTGCCCAACTTTGTGTTTTCTTTCAGCTTCTGCACAGGCTCAAGTCTCAAACCAAAGCCCAAGACAATTGGCTTTGTGTGGTCTCCAGCTTGCTCCCAACCACTGTACTGTTCTCTTTGTAAGTAGTTGGGTACTATAAAATGATGTAAATCTTTCTCAGTGAGGCAGTGAAAGGAACCACCTCTTTCCTGGTACGATGGCTTCCAAGAAGCACTTCTAAACAGGAACGGTGGTTACAAAACCGGCACACGTTTCTGGCCAAAGCAGCCAGTCCAGCTTATGGGAGAACTTAACACCCCTCAGATCACTGAGAGCTCACAGCTTCAGCCCAAAGCCTTTCAACAATGCACGATGGAAGGAACATACTAAGCCTGAAATGGTACCTCATTTTCTTTCTCCCCTTTGGCTTGGTCTGTAACACCATTCCCATTTATCCAGAACAATCCAGTTTATCAATCCTATTGCTATACCTGGTCCAGAGGCAACTGAAGCTTCCTAATGCAGCAATCACCTGACAACTCCAACACTGCCTCAATGGAACATGCAGGAGCCACAGCAGGACACAGCCATAGCAGTACACAAAGGGGTCTTGCTTACTTTTCTATTAAGACTCAGGCACCTGAACACCTTCAAGTCTAAAACGGGCATGGGAGCGTACCAATGGTGTGTTGTGCCAATTTCCAAGAAGCAAAAAAAAAGTCATACTGGAAGAGATGGGGATTTACTTTAAGCCGACACAGAGATCAAAGTGCACAGAGATAAGACAGCTGTTCTGGAAGTCCCCAGAGAAGCACAGAAGTGTACTGCCAGGAGCACTGTCACTTCTAGGACCATGTGTTGCAATCTTGTTCTTCAATAGCCTTGGGTGCTGACAGTAAAAAAAAAAAAGCAGATCCAAGAACATGTAGGTCCAGGGTCATTGCCTTCCTCCCTTCTTCTAACATTAGACAAAGGGTCTTCAACCACCTGTGTTTGGTTGGCATCAAGGAACAAACAGGAATTTAGGAACAGGCTGAACAGGCTGAAGTCTCCAGGCAGCAGTTCCCTCAAATGATTGTGATACCTTCCCAGGAGCCCCAAGTGCTGGCCCTGGCTTAGTTACTGAGCTTTCAGTAACCTGCTCCATCATCCTTTGTACCCTCCTGAATCCCAGACACTGACCTTGCCTGCCATGTTCCACTGGAACTTTACCAACAGAAAGAATGACGGGTCCTGTTTGCTGCCCAAACAAAACCACAACCTTAATGGCATTACAGATCTGTGTGCTGGACTGCTAGATAGCAATTCCAGGCAGTCCTGCATCTTCCTTTCTCTAACACCCAGTTTAAAACAGACATTGTTAAAATCTCAGTGCAGTGCTTCCACCTCATTCCTGATGTTTCAAAAAAAAATGCAATAAATTCTCATTACCACCCTGTGGGTCTTTTGGAAGACGCTTAGATCAGATCTCCACAAGCAGACAGAAACCAATGTGTGTATTTCAATTCTGAAGAAAACATGAGACACTTTTCTAGCATTACATGCTGCCTGACAGAGCTAAGAGAAGAACACAAGAACTCCCACAACTCCCTCACCTACCCTCTACATGAGACCATGCTGCCTCTTACTTAGACACAAAACAACAACAGATCATTCAAAACACAGCATGGCCTTCACAAAAGTGGCAGCTAGAGGCATTCTCTGAGATGGTCCCTATCTGAGCACATCCTTCAGGAGAGCAGAGAATATTGTTTTCAATGCTTCTAGGAGGGGAAACAGCCAACAGAGCTGTGTTAGGAAGCAGTGTTCAAGCAATATGATATAATGATCCTCCTACTTTCACTGGCACTTTTCCTCCAGAACAGAGTCCTTCATCTGTGGCCTGAATGTTACTTATTAGATGGGTTACACTACACGTTTGGCTCTGTTAAAATGCAAGTAGTTTAGATGCCCTTGGTTTACCAAGTAATTCTGGTCAGTCTGTATCAGTGAGCTTTTCCTTTTATAATTCACAAGTCTGATCTCCCTTCTGTACCCATTTAATGTGCAGCCTTTGTTAGAAGTAGATTTTGTTTCTTTTCAACCTATTAATAAGGCTAAGTAAAGCAACGCCAAGAACTGGTTGCTGGAAGATCCTGATGGAAATACACTCAATTAAGCACCATTTAAAATTACATTGAGACCTATGAGTTAGCCACATTTTAATCCATTTAATGTGTGCCATGTTGATTCTTGTATTGGTGTGGTTTTCACTCAAAATATTATGTAGTACCAGTCAAATGCCTTACACAGTCTAAGTATTTAGGACAACAATATCACCTGCATCAACCAGGCCTGTCACTTCAAACAAACATACCAAATTTAAAGATTTATACTTATCTGCTCTGAATTCACATATCCACGGCAAAAGTAACAAATACTGGCCAGGCTCCTTACACAGGAAGGCACACCAGTCAGCTTAAATGGACTCTTTTTTTAATTCACTCATTTAGAGGCAATTGTCATTACTTTCTTGGGGGCAGGGAGGGAAACGCCAATGCACCACATTGTTTTCACTAGCCTGGAAGAGGAAACACTTATATATATAGATATATAGGTATGTATATATATACACACACTTTATGCGTGTGTGTATATATATGTGTGTGTGTATATATGTATATATACACGCTAGTGTATATATACACAGAATATACATATATGAATATACAGAATATATGCACACACACTTTGCTCAGATTTGTTTACAAAATATGTAGCATTTTTATACCATCCAATAAGAGGTACATGGTTTTAAACAAATCTTATAGAAATGACATGTTATTGGAAATTTACACGTAAAAAAATCCAGCACAAAAAAATCCAAAAGCTAAAACAAGATTTTGCTACTAATCAGTGCTTCTATCACCCTTCAAGAAAAGAGAAACACAGTTATTTATATGTGATGTAAAGGCAACATTGAGGGGTTTTTTTGCTTTTTTAAATTAACCACCAAATTTAACCCCCTAAAATTACAAAGAATTGAAGTCCATTTACAGATCAAGTGCAGTAAACTAAATGTTCCTTCAGCACAAAGCAGCACTAGAGAAAATAACTGGGAGAGGGAAAGTGGAGGCCAACTGGCTTAGCTAGGGAGGCAGCAGGTGGCTTCTGCAGTGGCCACACAGGTCAGAGTCTCCATCCTGAAGCAGAGACAGAAGACTTTATTTAAATAATGGTCACACAGAGCTGATGTTCAGGCCTTTGCCTAGCTTCTTTCAGCAGTATGACAAGTGACTTGTGTTTTTATAACTCTGTATCCAATGGGCTGGTTTTGCTTTTGCAGTGGCTATCACTGAGAGGAGTCATGAGGATCTTGAAGACAGTTCTGCCACAAACATTTACCACAGGTACATGACGCTGCAGTTGCCAGTGGCGATTTTGAAATGTTTACACTGGACAAATGTGTGTTCCAAGCATCCAAAATGGCTTGAAAGAACATAGCCCGATGCAGGGGGGAGCGGATGGCCTAGGGAACCCATTGCATTCTCTGAAATGGAACTGCCACTTTCAATCAGGCAGCATCTTCCCTGCTGTGTGAAGTTTGGTGCCATGTCAGCTGAACTCAGTGAGGAGTGGCTGGCCTTTGCATCAGAGGTCTGTGATCCAAGCAGGTTGCAGAGCCAAGAACATGCTGCTAGCAGAAGGGCAGTCTCCAGCTGCACGCAGCAGCTGCCATGCAGTCAACGATGCCTTACAGATGTCACCTGGAGGAACCATGAGTTCCATGCTAATTCACCTGAAGTCTCATCAACAGCAAAAGGGAAAAGTGAAATGAGAAGGCCAGGTGGATCCAGATGTAATAGTACTACCCTGTGAATGTAGTGTCATTTTAGTTAAATAAGGGCCTTGACCAGGAGGACTATATTCCATCAGGTGAGCTGGAGAGGAAGCTCTTGTCTCGTGAAAATGAAACGGAGATCTAACGCTCCTTGTGCCAAGTTTTACAAATTAAGAATTCTGTATTCAGAAGTTAACTTTTCAGAAGACAAATCTGTTCAAGTCACGCTGTGTAAAAATGTAAAGAGGCAGACAGGAACTTTTCAGCCATAACTAGAATACCAGGGACCAGACTCTGGAGCATGGAGCCAGAAAGGGCTTGATCTTTAAGGAAGGCCCAGCTGGATCATACTGTGCTGGAAAGCAGAAGTGGGGGCAGTTTCTCCATTCTAGAAGCTGTTTTGGAAAGTCATTTCTGGGGAGGTGTTAAGAGTGACCTGTTCACAGGTTCTTTTTTTGTGGATGGAGAGGACAAACTGAAAAGGTATATAAATCTCCACAGTGGTCTGCAATCCAACTTGGGAGCTCAGTGTTGAGACGGGATGGGGCCAGATGTGTTCAGTATTCCTAAGAACCACAAAACATGTCCATTGCAGCCTGTTGTTGCAGGGGACAGAGAACTTACTCCATTGTTTGTAACATGTTCCTCATGCCAATAACCCCAGCTGGCACATACAGCAAGGTAGACAGAACGCGTGTGAAGGTTTAACGCATCTCTCGCAGCCATCCAAAGAGGCATCCAGGGGAGAACATGAGGGATGAATTCAGCTACGTTCTCAGAAAGGCTGAATGTCTCCCTGGACTGCAGGCACACTCTGCAGCAAACACAAGAGAAAGGCAGCCTTCTCTTGGATGCCAGGAGTGGGGGGGCCAAGTGGAGGAGGGATTACTTTCCTGTAATAGGAACAAGGAATATCTCAAAGTATAGAAAGGTGCCTCAACTCCACAAAGATGACAGTGGAGAGATTCAGAATCTAGAGGAGAAGGGTGATTCTGGTGACCCCTTGCCAAGGAGGGGGCATCCTGCCACGGAGAGCCAAAAGTTTTCCAGACGTATGTAAGAGCATGTGCACAAGGCAAGCGAATGAGCGCAAACAGGGTTATGGAAAACATTGAGAGAATCACTCCACGGGTGGCTTGTGGCTCGACAACAGGATTGGCTAGGTAGAGGAGCACACAGCACAGGGGCACCTCAAAGCTGGAAGCCTTCCATGGGAGCCTCACACTGCTGGAAGATGTATTGTTGCTGGTTGATATCCACTTGTGGGGCAATGCTGCTGTCTTCATCCTCTGTTCCAAAGTAGTGCTCAATCAGATCAAAGGCCTTCTGATAAATCTCTTGATTCTCATGGCTCTGCAGGAATTCAATCTTGTCCAGGCCTGCAGAGAAAAGCAGTACATGAAAGTGACAGCTTAGTCAAAGGATATGACCACAATAATTTTCAGTCTGTTCCATCATTCTCTCCCACCTTCAGAAAGAACAGGCTCCTCTATGGAGACCTGCATCCAACTTGTACTCTCCAGAACCAAGGAAAGCCAGTTTGAACTACAGAGATCGCCGTAACTGTGACATGTGTTTCGTACCTTCTCTCTGCCTTTACCCTTTCACTTAAAAATTAAATCAACAAGCTTGAATGAGTAAAGAACAAGGCCTCAAACTCAAAGACTTTTTCTGAAGAGACTTTTAGGACCGTGTTTCCCAAAAACATGTTCACAGTGCTTTCTTTATGAAGACTGTGACTACAGAATCACCTACATGTAAGCTGAAACAGACTTCTGATAATCATCTAGTCCAACCTGCAGCCCATCCCAGCAGTACTAACCAACACCAGATAAGATCTGATGTGTCTGGACAAGTATTCCAAACTTCCAAGGGTGGAGACTCCATTTCCTAACCTGTATAATATATATGTGTACAATGCAGTTAAACCCAGGCAACCAGTTTTTGGGCAGGCATTAAAGCACATGGGCAAACTCAAGCCTTGAAGTCAGACACACAGAAAAGTAATACAGCAAGGAATGATGCTATAATGAAATCCAAATGTTAGCCATTCTAGTAAATGTCTATTGCTGGGAATTGTAGTGGTTTTCTTGTTAACACATTTTACTTTGTATGAATCAAGAAAATAAGATCTCCACATTCTGTCTCCAATCTACACACAAAGATCATGTAGAAGATGGAGTACTCTGGAGACTTATCAAAGAACAGGCTATTTTCAGTAATAGTGATAAGGAAACTAACAGAAGTGGGCCTGCTGAGACCCCAATGAGTTTGTGACCATTTCAGTATGCCCTGATTTCCCCAGGTGTTTTGCTCATACCGTACGCTTCTTCAATAAGAGCGCAGTAAGGATTAATGCCACTGCCACTGCGTTTGGATTCCTGCTCTCCAAGCCTCAGGATGTTCTCCAGCCCATTCAGAGCTACTTGCACAATCTTGGAGTCCATTACTGTAAGGAGGTCACAGAGTGGTTTGATGCATCCCAGTTCTACTAAATACCTGAAAAATATCATATGGAACCCAGTAAATTTTCTGCAAAATGGTAATTGGCGTAGCCATTTAAGCACATAGTATGAAGGTCAAACAAATCAAAACAATCAGATAAAGTATTAACTTGACTGGAAAAATTAGAGAAATTAAATACATCCATTTCTATCTAGTCAATTCTGCTGAAATAATGAAAATAACTTTAAAATCCTTTCTCTGTCTCACTCTCTCCATATCATATAGCTATGAAATAATACTTTATTTTTTGTACCATATTTCTATTTTTGTAAATCATATTTCTATAATGGTAACTTATAAATATTTTCTATAAAGAGCAATTATATTAATTTAACATGCTTGTGAAGTCTTTTTTTTAATACAAAACCGCATATAAGCATAATGTACTGGTATAAGCTAAACAGAAGAAACAATGCACATGATGCCATTGTCCAAGGGGCTGAGCTATTCCTCTCCAGACTGTTACTGCGCTCTGTTATACTCTACACCCCTCAGAAGTTAGTTTAAAAGCTGCATTTAGTTTTTTCTGTATAAGACAAATGGTTCAATTATGTAAATAAGTATTACAGCTGAAATACTTTTATGATTTCTCCCTGAAGGAATGAAAGACTCATTCATAACAAGGACATGGTCTCTCTGGATTCAGCACTGAAAGCACAGTGAAAGCTTTTTCAGTTTCTAGGCTGATAGTTTGTTTTCTTGCACAAACACTAACTCAGTCTATTGCATGGAAAGCTTTAAACCATTTCGTACTTGATCTGTTCAGCAGAGCCTCCTGATGTCGCATTTGTGATTGCCCAAGCAGCTTCCTTCCTTGTCCGAAACTCAGCCGTTTGCAAAATATTTATAAGAGCTGGGAAGATATGGGCGTCTATGACTGTCTGCAAAAACAAATGACACGGCAGGGTCAAAATAAAAATTAGAAATAATTTCTTTGTCCTGAGTTAGTTCATGTCCTGCCCAGCATAACACATTAAACCATGAAATGTCACTTTATCAAACACCGAAACTGATAAATCAGTTTTCAGCTTTACACTCAAAACTTTAGTTGTTGCTGTGGTCTGTTCTTACTCTAAATGAATTCAAAACACATTCAGACTCAAGTGACTGCCATATCTAATGAGTTACTTAATCATACCCTGACAGCACAAGAATGCAATACTTCCCTTATTTTTCCAGGTAGTAAACCTCTCAGCTATAAAGTCAGTAAACCATTAAGTCATTAAGATCCCCTAAACTTCATAGGCCTGTGTGCCATAATACATTTCCAGTGGGCGAGACAAGAGAGCAAAGTTGTTCATGTAAGAACTGCTCAAAACAAGCAATCACCTGATGAAAAGACAAAGCACTGATGGTGCTTTGGCAGTAGGGTTCTCTGCTTAGCTCAACAAAGTGATAGAAGCCAAATGAGCATTTGGGCAGCAACTTTAAGTTTCTGGTAACTCCTTCTAAAAACAGCCTTTTGCTATAAGACCAAAATTAAATCAGTTTTGTTACACACCTATGACAAGGATTTCAAACACTTTGATAAGGCTCATTCAAACAAGCAAGATCTCAGGATTACTTTTTCAATCTACCACTTTACAAGTATAAATCATCACAGAACTAACAAAGGGAAATCCAAAGAAAGCCAAAAAGATCCTTTGCACAGAGCTCTGAGGAAGAAAATATATTACATACAGGAAAAAGCTACAGTCAATTCATAAAGTAAATGGCTAACCTGGTAAAAATAAAACAATTGTTTGATATTTCTTTTATCCTTCCTGTGTGTCTGGGCATCACACTACCTCTGCTTTGTAAATCCATACAGCCTCTCAGTTGTACCAACAAGCACATGAACATCATCTCCTTTGCCAAAGAATCCACACTTCTGATACAGTAATCTGGGGTCCTCAAGGAACCTATTACTTCCACCATGCCGTGTTGTACTACATTTGTACATTGCCAAGAATATTTCAAAAAGTATCCTTAACTGAAATTTTAGAACATGACTACTGAAAGTGATAGGTCATAAACAGGAGCCAGCTATTTAAAAAAATTGAAAAAGATAAAAGGAAATCTCTTAAAAATAGATGCATTTTACCCCCTCACATATTTTACTGCAAAAAACCCCAATTAATTTGTGAAATTATCACTGTAGGGTATTTGGAACATGAGAGCATCTGCTTCATTAAGGTTATCAGATCAAGGACCTTTCCAGCTCAAAGGCAGATACAAATAAGAGGGAAGTAATAAATAAAACACACAGTGACACAAACCCGATAGACAAGGGATAAGGAAACAATCACAAAGAAGAAAAGGTTCCAGTCACTAATCAATAGGTCATTAAGAAACTACAGGCAGAGAGCCAGCCTGGACTTTGCAGCTGATGACAGGGACAAGTGCAACTGCGCAAAACTTAATAACAAATCTTTTCCCAACTATTTTACCACATAACCACTCTCTGCGCCACCTGAGCACTGTAAAGATTAGGCGCTAGCAACAGAGCACAACTCACTTTGGGCCAGGGATTGGACCAGATCTCAGGAGAACCCTTTGTGTCTGTGGGGCAAGCAGCTACAGTGGGTGGGGGTGTCTCAGCAGCAAAACAGGCCATGAAATCAGGTCCCATAAAACATGAATTTGGGGTCAGCAAATGGTGTCAAGTCTTGGAAGAAAGGGTCACCTGCAACTGGAGCAGGTGAAGGTCTCAGCATCAACCACTGGGGCAGGATCACAGACTATAGGGCCCATGTGCCTGGATGCCAGCCACTAGAGGGACTGGAGCAAAGTCTAATGAACATCCCAGCATCTCAGCTGCAAAGGGGCTGCAGGTTACAGAACCCATTTGTCTGGGCACCTGCTAGGTGTGGTGGGGGAATTTATGTTATCCCCAAAAGCAGTGGTGGGGATGGAAGATCACAGAGTACTTAGATTGATGGCAAACTGACTGGGCAGCAACTGGGAGGTTCAGGATCCAGGTATGGACAGAGAGTTTGTGCTGATATTCAGTGGGTCTGCAAGCCCAAGACAAACGTGTTTATCTGTTTGCCAGTGAGAATCAAGCTGAACCAGTCAGTGAGTAGAAACCAAGCATGGGGAGTTAAAAGAGCTCCTGATGCAGCCATGGACAGCAGCTGAGCAGAGAAGCAATACTGGTACTTGACATAACTGTGACCATGCACCTAGAGAGTGAGAACATAAATGTTTTCACCAGTGAACTTCAGTTCTCATTAGATGGAGAGGAGAAAGGGGACTTGTCAGTCTATACTTTCCTTTATGTGAGTCCAGAGAATTCTATAGGGTGTTGTTGCGGCAGAAGCCCTAAGAAGAACAATGTGTTTCAGGATGTCAAACACTGCCTACTGAAAGATCTTGATATGGACCTAGGATAGGGATATTTGAGGGCATTAGGATTTTACTATTGTGGCAAAAAACAAGTCAAAAAATCTCATTATCACTTCTTAAATCCTCTCCCCAAAACAATCCTTTTACAGGAGATTCATTTCCTTAGAAAGCATCTTCTCAAAACCAACTTCTATAACAAATACTAAAATCTGAGTATGTTACATGATAGTGTGCAACTACATCGGCACACCTTATCCGACAGGCAGTGACTAACACTTGAGTCTTCTTACTGCCAAAAAAAAAAAGTTACCTTAAAATGTTTCAACTTAAAATTTGTAAAACAGTAAGACAATCAGAATAAAGGGACCTAGCAACAGGACAGCAATTAAGTGGGAGAAATACAAAAGATTGTTACTGTTTTTCTTCACTCAGTCAACTTTGAACTCTTTGCTTCAGTGTTTAGATGCTTCAGCTCAGTGGGTAAAATTACTCTTCTTGGGAGTGGAGAAATACACACTTGAACCTTCTCAGAAAGAACTGAATCCAGATCTCACATCTCTTGGCTTAGTGCTCTTACTTCTCTTTCTATTGCATAACAGGCTATGGGGACCTTGCTTCGTTTCTGCTCTACATGGAAATTGGCTATCTCTACCCAAGAAGAACAAGGTAAAGCACCACAATGAATCACAGCCTCTCATAAGGCACTTCTCTCAAACAGACTGACTCAAGAGACATGATTACCAGTCAGTACGCTTTTATGTTTTCTACTGCCTGACAGGCAACATAAGTGTTGCCATCTCACCTTAGCTTGAGTGTTAGTGAAAGGTTCTCAACTCTCCCTCTGTAACACCACAACGTTTTTCCACTAGCACCCTCTCAAACAGCTGAAATTCTCAGAGCTCAAGTTTACGAAAAAAACCCACATTAACTAGGTGAGAAAATGGTCTGCTTTAACCTTAGTATCTCCACTGGATTTTAAAAGTCTAGTTAAGGTCAGCAAGGGAGGAAACAATAAAGTATCAATACAGAGTAATTGCCAGGCATCATCTATATTTACACCCTATGACTTGTAGCCTGCCCACAGCAGTTACTCTTGAAAGCACACTAGAATGCCTAAGGATTTCCATCTCTATGATATTTTATGTGGGAACAACAGTTACTGTGGAAACAGGTCACGTTTCCTTTTCAGGTAAACTTCTTTTATTAATTAATTATCTTTTAAGTGATAAAACAGTAAATGCTAAAACAGAATTTGATTTAGTGAGGGGTTTTTTTGTTGTTGTTGTTGTTTGGTTTCTTGGTTTTTTTGAGAATTTGATTTAGTGAGGGTTTTTTTTGTTGTTGTTTGGTTTCTTGGTTTTTTTAAGAAAAGCAAGCGTCAGGCAGAGCAAAGCCTAAAGAACTGTGGCAGGATGCAGCACTTAAAATTTCTAATGACTTAGATTGGCTTAATTCAAATTACTTTACTTTTTTATAGCATTCCCATAATGTGTGTGCCTGATATGGAAGTGTGTTTAAGACTACAGAAATGTAGTGCATAGAAAATGCTCAAGATAAGTATAGTTTTCCAACACAAGGAACAGAGTTGAGGATTTCAGTTCAACAAGAATTTTAAAAACATGAAAGAAATAAAAAGGTTTTAGGCTGCCACTACTAGGCACGGATGTGCTATCTACAAAATGCACTAGAAATCTCTTTTTTGGACAGCAGGCAATCCAAAGTCCATCCTTTAATACAAGAAACTAACACTGAAGTTTTTGCCCAGCTGCATCTAGTAGTATTTGTTGGAACTGAACCCCATCTGGAGTTGTAATTACAAGTCTTTTGGAAAACCAAAATTGAATTTTAACTGAAACTGAATTTTAACTGAAATTGAATTTTAATTGAAACACGAACTTTCAAACTTAATTTCTAATGCTCAGTACTACATCAAACCTGACCCTCACTTCTAAAGTGTCAACTTTTCTATGTTTAGTTTGGGGTGTGTATGTTGTTTTGGTTTGGGGTGGTTTTTTTAATACGTGGTATCCCAGTGGTGTAGTCCTCTAGGACGGTTGCCTGTCTCTTGGAAACACTATACCTGTCTTATTTTAATAAGTTTTTTCACTTCACAGTATTGGATTCTTAAAGAGTGAAGCTAGATTACATTAATGAATTTTTCATTACACCAGCATGGATGTTTAATCTAAATATGTTGCAGTCATTGTTAGGGAGGTCTTCAGCCATAGTATTTTAAATTCATATTTTGAGCCCTGTGAGAATCTGCTTCTCCCCCTTTGGGTTCCCACACCTAAATCATTTGTGATATGCAAACACACACACATATTTAGTGTGCACGTGCTGGCACCACATGTCTACATATCATTCACCACATAAATGTGAAAGCAAACAAGTCTTAGACTGTGATTTTTTTTACCTGCTCCTGCAACCTCTCACATTACCTTTAACAAATCAAAATTACAGTCACCCTATAATTGGCAGCTGCCAGTAGAGCCCTACTGCTATGATCTTCCCCTCATGTCTGGAAATTTTAGTTCAAAGAAGCTTCTCTCTG